CAGCCTCCTGAGTAACTAGGATTATGGGCATAAGCCACTGGCATCCTGGTGTAGAGGTTATTTTGGAGGTGTTTTGTTTTGTTTTTATTCTTCCTTTGGTTTTTGTTTGTTGTTGTTTGGGACAGGGCCTTACTACATAGGCTACACTAGCCTCAAACTACAATCCTAATTCTGCTTCTTGAGCACTGGAATCAAAGGCATGCACCACCATGACTGGTTCTCAGGTATATAGGATTTTTTTGGTGGGGGGGGGGGGGGGGCGAGGGGAGGTGCCAGTTCTAGAGCTTGAATTCAAGAACCGGATGTTTTCCCTGAGCTTTTTTGCTCAAGGTTAACACTCTACCACTTTAGCCACAACTTCACCTCTGGATTGTTGGTGGTTAATTTGAGATCTAAGAATAGAAGTTTGAAGCCATCCCAGGCAGAAAAGTGGGTGAGACTTTTTTTTTTTGCCACTCCTGGGGCTTGAACTCAGGGGCTTGTTTTTTTTTTGCTCAAGGCTAGCACTCTACTACTTGAGCCACAGAACCACTTCTGGATTTTTCTGTTTCTATGATACTGATTAATTGAATCCAGGGCTTCATGCATGCTAGGTAAGCACTCTTATCACTAAGCCACATTCCCATGGGGGGGGGGGGGAGACTCTTAACTCCAATTGACCACCAGAAATGTTGTAAGTGGGGCTGTGGCTCAAGTGATAGAACACTAGCTTTGAGGAATAAAAGCCCAGAGGCAGTATCCAGGCTCTTGAGTTCAAGTACCGGGACCAGCACAAAACCAAACTAAACAAAAATTAATTTTAAAAAAGAGTTGGGTTTTTCCTTAGCTAATTAGGACATAAGAGTTTGGAGCTGGGCGCTGGTGGCTACTCTGGAGGCTTAGAACTGAGGATCACAGTTCAAAGCCAGCCCAGGCAGGAAAGTCCAGGATTCTCATCTCTAGTAAATGACCAGAAAACTGAAAGTGGTGCTGTGGCAGAGCAATTGCCTTGAGCTGAAGTGCTGAGGGACAGCACCCAGGCCCAGAGTTCAAACCCCCATGATTGACCCCCCCCCAAAAAAATAGAGTGAGTTTGAAATTGTTATTAACATCTCTAAAATCAAAATCCTGCTAACATTCAAGCATTGTTGGCTTACACTTGTAATCCTAGCTACTTAGGAGGCTGAGATCTGAGAATTGTGGTTCAAAGTTAGTTTGGGCAGGAAAGTCCATGAGACTAATCTCCAATTAACCATCAAAAAGCAGGAAATGAAACTGTGGCTCAAAGTGGTAGAGAACTAGCCTTGAGCACAAAAGCTCAGGGACAGTGCCCAGGCCTTGAGTTCAAGCCCTAGGATTGGCAGAAAAGGGGGGTGGGATAAAAAGATATTGCCAACAGCTCTGAAACCAAAAGCCAAGTAAAACATTTGCAATTTTAAACTTATACCACTTGAAAAGAAGGGCTTTATGAATTCCATATGATTTTTTTTCCCTTGCCCAACCGAATGGTATGTTTGCCAAATATTCCTTTTTGTACATCATAGGCTATTTGACTCACACAGACATTGAAGAGTCTACTCTGGTTTACACTAATAGCTAAATACAAAGAAGATCTAGATGCTGCCGCTTTTTTTTTTTTTTTTTGGTTGGTCCTGGGGCTTGATCAAGGCTGGTGCTCTACCACTTGAGCCATAGCACCACTTTGGTTTCCTGGTGGTTAATTGGGGATAAGAGTCTTGGGGAATTTCCTGCCCGTACTGGCTTTCTTTTGTTTTTTTCTTTTTTTTTGTCCGTCGTGGGGCTTGACTCTGGGCCTGGGCGCTGTCCCTCAGCTCTTCAGCTCAAGGCGAGCGCTCTACCACTTGAGCTACAGCGCCACTTCCGGTTTTCTGGTGGTTTATTGGAGATAGGAGTCTCACGGTCTCTCCTGCCTGGGCTGGCTTTGAACCGTGATCCTCAGATCTCAGCCTCTTGAGTAGCTAGGATTACAGGCGTGAGCCACCAGCGCCCGGCCCCATACTGGCTTTGAACTGTGATCCTCAGATCTTAGGCTCGTGAGTAGTTAGGGTTACAGGCATGAGCCACTAGAGCCCTGCTGCCTCTTTCTTGAGAAAGTTGCCTAATTTCAAATATTATGTTGCATAGCTGAACCTGTAATACAATGTTAATAAAATAAGAGTACAAATAAAGGAGAAAGCAGTGCCTAAAACAAATGAGATTAGGGACTGAAGCTATAAGAAGTTTAATTAAGTAGGCATTATGCTTTTAACTATGAGGAAGCTTTGATAATTAGCTATTATCAATATAACTATTGAGAGATAATAAAGTTAGATTTCCCCTTCTCCCCCCCCCCCCCCCCATAGTTGCCTCTCAGTTGTTAGAATTACTGTTTAATTTAGCTTTAAGATAGTACATTAGGCCAGGTGCTGGTTGCTCATGCCTGTAATCCTAGCTACTCAAGAGGCTGAGATCTGAGGATTGGGGTTCAAAGCCAGCCCAGGCAGGAAAGTCCATGAGACTCTTATCCCCAATAGATCACAAGAAAACAGGAAGTGATGCTGTGGCTCAAGTGGTAGAGTGCGAGCCTTGAGCTGAAGATCTGAGGGACAGTGCCCAGGCCCAGAGTTCAAGCCCCACTACTGACCCAAAAAAAAAAAAAAGGGATGGGAAGGTGGCTCAGTGGTAGAGCGCTTGCCTTGCATGCATGAGGCCCTGGATTCGATTCCTCAGTACCACATAAGCAAAAAGAAAAAAGCTGGAAGTGGCATTGTGGCTCAAGTGGTAGAGCACTAGCTTTGAGCTGAAGAGCTGAGGGACAGTGCCCAGGTCCAGAGTTCAGGCCCCACAATCGGACCCCCCCCTAAAAAAAATACATTAGGACAAGATCCTATTCTAAAGCCAAGTTTGATAGTGATTGCCTAGGATCCTAGCCTTTGAGCCCAGGTATGCAGAAGGTAGAGAGGCACTACAAGATCTGAGGTCAATCTAAGCAAAAAAGCAAGAGGATCTTATCTGAAAAATAAAGCAAAGAGCCCTGGAAGGTGTGGCTGGAGTTTCAGCATTAGACTCTTAAAGTCAAACCTCTCAGTACGCACCCTTACCCCCTCCATCACAATTTAGTGCTACTTCTCAAGAAATACTATACATGGTGTATTTTTTAGTGCTATGGTTTGGATGTGGTTTGTCCCCAAAGTTCACTAACTAAGAAACATGGTGTCTCCAGGGTGGCCTTGTTGAGATACTGTACACCAATTAAGGGGTGGGGCCTGATAGAAGGTAATTATGTTACAGCCTTAGTTGTACAAAAGGGAGTTTTATTGTAACATTCATATGTGCATACAATGTATCCTGATGAACCTTACTCAAACACTCTTACCTACTTGTTGAAACAATTTCAACTGGTTTCATTTTTCAGTCTTTTTTTTTTTTTTTTCTTTTTTGGTCTTGGGGTTTGAACTCTGGGCCTGAGTGCTGTCCCTCAGCTCTTCAGCTCAAGGCGAGTGCTCTACCACTTGAGCTACAGTGCCACTTCCGGTTTTCTGGTGGTTTATTGGAGATAGGAGTCTCACAGTCTTTCCTGCCTGGGCTGGCTTTGAACCGCAATCCTCAGATCTTAGCCTCCTCAGTAGCTAGGATTACAGGCGTGAGCCACCAGCGCCCGGCTCATTGTTCAGTCTTCAATCTATGCAAATAAGCTGTTTGGACTTTATTCATCTTTTTTTTTTTTGGGTAGGTCATGGGGCTTGAATTCTTGTCCTGGGCACTGTCCCTCAGCTCTTCAGTTCAAGGCTAGTGCTCACCACTTGAGCCACAGCGCCACTTCTGGCTTTCTGGTGGTCAATTGGAGGTAAGAGTCTCAAGGACTTTTGTGCCTTGGCTGGCTTTCAATTGTGATCTTCAGATCTCAGCCTCCTGAGTAGCTAGGATTACAAGCATGAGCCACCAAGCCCCCAGCTTCATGTTTTTCTTAGTATTAGTTGTACCAAGGAGTTTCACCATTGTATTTCAGAGCAATATATATTTCAGAATCACCTACTCTTCTGTCTATCCCAGCCCCCTAATCCACTGTTGACCAACAACTTTCATTAGGATTCCTTATACCATCTTCATGCATAGTTGCAATATGTTTCAAAATTATTCACCTTCCATCTAACTTTTTTCCCTCTCCTTACCCTCATCCTCCAAACAGTGTCATAGTAAAAATTTTTCTGTGTTTATATACACCCCCCCACAAACATATGTGTTTATATATCCATGAATTTGTGTAGCTTTAAGGTCTAGCTTTCACAAATGAGCAAAAGTAATATTTAGTCCAGCACTGGTGGCTCACACCTATAATCCTAGCTACTTAGGAGGCTGAGATCTGATGATTGTCGTTCAAACCCAGCCTGGGCAGAAAAATCCAGAGGGCTCTTACCTCGAATAAACTATTGTGTTACAACTTTGATGGCAATTAAAACAATTTATTCTATGAAATTGCTACAGATAACAAAAATTGCTTTAGATTCACAAACACAGTATCTCAAAAATGAATAGTTTGAAAAATTTTGGTGAGGGGCTGGGAAGTTGGCTCAGTGGTAGAGCGCTTGCCTTGCATGCCTGAGGCCCTGGATTCGATTCCTCAGCACCACATTAGCAAAAAGAAAAAAGCCAGAAGTGGCGCTGTGGCTTAAGTGGTAGGGCACTAGCCTTGAGCTGAAGAGCTGAGGGACAGTGCTCAGGCCCAGAGTTCAGGCCCCACAACCGGACCAAAAAAAAAAAGAAAAGAAAAATTTTGGCGATATTTTCAGATAGATGACAATAAAAATTAGTGTTTAAATAGTAGCTTATAGAGGCTTACATAGACATTTTATTAAAGATTTTTCTATTTCCAAGTTGATCAGAATAGAACAAGGTGATATTTGCATAATGCCTACTAATATTAAATTGCTTGATTTTTTTCACATTTAAGTAACAAATTATTTAGATTTATTATTTTAATCCAGTTTTAAAATTTACAAGTAGATCCTTTGATTATTTAGCAGGTAACATCTAAAGGGACTAGTTTAAATCCTAATGCCAAAGTATGGCAAGAAGTTCCTCCAGGAAATCCTGATGCTACTTCTGTGACTCATGGAACGGAAAGCTCTTGGCATGAAACAGCAGCCACATCAGGATCGCATCCTGAGGGTAAGAGCTAAATATTTTAATACAAGGCTCCACTTTTAGTTAATGCAGAGCTTTCAGCTATATCCTTTGATTATTTGATATTATGATCAGCCTTTTTGTCTTTGTCTTTTTCTTGTTGTTCGTGGGGCCTGAACTCTGGGTCTGCGCACTGTCCCTCAGCTCTTCAGCTCAAGGCTAGCACTCTACCACTTGAGCCACAGTGCTTTTTCTGCTTATGTGGGCCTCATGCATGCAAGACAAGCACTCTACCACTGAGCCACCTTCCCAGCCCTGTTGATCACCTTTTTGTCACTTCAACTGAGAAAGTTAGCTTTTTAAGAAGCAACGATTTATTTTGGCTCATGGCTCAGTTTTCCATTCATTATCACTTGACCCTGTCACTTTGGGCCTTTGCTGTAGTTAACATCAGCTTGGGAAGCTTGCTGTGGAGAAGAGCTTCTTACTTTTGGGATTAGAGGAGAAAGATATGACACGGCTAGATCCCACTTGCTTCAACTCAGTTCTACTTCCCTTGTTTCCATCACTTCCAAATAGTTCATCAAATTATGAACCCATCAGATTAATACATTGGTAAGGTCAGAGCCCTCATCATTCAGTTATTTCCTACATCTGATCATTGCTTCATTGGAATAGTCTGTTACTTATATAATGCTTATGTAAGTTTGTTATTGTTAATCATTTTAGCTTACCCATAATGGTAAACCAATCTTTTGTTGAAAAATAAGTATTACTAAAACCATGTGGACACCTCAACTAGTATAATACTTTAAAATCTTTTTATTGAAGATAAACTCCCCAGAGTTCCTAAGACAGGATTTAGAGCTCCTACTCACTTGTCATGTCTTTTGTTTAATGCAGGTAATACAGAGCTTTCAGAGGATATGTGTAAGGAATATGAAGTAATGTATTCTACATCTTGTGAAACTGCAAGAAACACTACAGGCATTGAAGAATCAACTGAAGGAATGATTTTAGGACCTGAAGATCTCAGTTACCAAATATATGACGTTTCTGGTAACCTTCTTAGTTATACTAATAAACTGAGAATTCACTAGCCTAATCACCCTCCCATCATTGTTAAACATATGGCATTGATCAAATTGTTTTCTTTGATCAGTTTGTTTTCTTCAGTGCAAAGATTTATGTTAATAGAATGTTAGGTGGTAGTTAAAAGTACTTTTGTCAACCAGGCATCTGTGGCTTACACCTGCAATTCTAGCTACACAGGAATCTGAGATCTGAAGATCACAGTTCAAAACCAGCGGTGGCAGGAATATCTAGTGGATACTTTTATTTTTTTCGGTAATGAGGCTTGAACTCAGGGCTTGGGCACAGTCTTTGAGCTTCTTTGCTCAAGCTAGTACTCTACCACTTGAGCCCACATGGCTCAGGGATAGTGCCCAGGCCCTGAGTTCAAGCCCCAGGACTTGCAAAAAAAAAAAAAAATTCAGACTTTTCTGCTTGGTCTGGCTTTGAACCTTTATTCTTAGATGTCAGCCTCGTGAGTAGCTAGGATTACAGGTGTAAGTCACCAGCTCCAGGCTAGTGGAGATTCTTTATCTCCACTGACCTACCAAAAGAACCAGAAGTGGAGCCGTGTGACTCAAGAGGTTGAGCTTTAGCCTTAAGCAAATGAAGCTTTGGCATAACACCTAAACCCCAGAACTGGCAGAAAAAATAAACTTTTGCCAATACTTAAGCCAGGTGCCAGTGGGTCATGCCTGTAATCCTTGCTACTCAAGAGGCTTAGATCTGAGGATCACAGTTCAAAGCCAGCCTGGGCAGGAAAGTCCATGAAAATTTTTTTTTTGGGTCCGGTGGTGGGGCTTGAACTCTGGGCCTGGGCGCTGTCCCTCAGCTCTTCAGCTCAAGACTAGCACTCTACCACTTGAGCCACAGCGCCACTTCCGGCTTTATTTTTTTTCTGCTATGTGGTGCTGAGGAATCAAACCCAGGGCCTCATGCATGCTAGGCAAGCACTCTACCACTGAGCCACCTTCCCAGTCCCAGTCCATGAAATTTTGATCTTTAATACACCATCAAAAAGCTTGAAGTAGAGCTTTGGCACAAGTGGTAGAGTGCTAGCCTTTAGTAAAACAGCATGGGCACAATGCCCAGACCTTGAGTTCAAGACTAAGGAAGGGCACCAAAAGAAAAAAAAAAGTACTTCTAAAACCTCAACATGAAATTTATAAATTGTTTTGGCGCTTATACTGGGACTTGAACTCAAGTTCTTGTGCTCTCATTTAGCTTTCCCTCCCTCCACCCCCCTTCAAAGCTGGATTCTAATACTTGATCCACAAAAGAATGTTTTGTGAGGTCCTATTAAACAGAGTAAGTATGAAATTAAAGCTACTAGGAAAAATGGTAAAAGACATTCAGATTATAACCTTTGAAAGGGTCCAAGTTTCTTGGAATCATTGCAAGTTCTATCAGTTTTCCTGTAACTTTGGTTAGCATGAAATATATCTAAAAACAGTGTTTAACCTAGTCTCTGGTGGTTCACATGATTTACACTTATAATCCTAGCCATTCAGAGACTGAGATCTGAGAGTAAAGGTTCAAAGCCAGCCCAATTAGGAAAGTCTGGGAGACTCTTGTCTCCTTAACTGGCAAATAATCAGAACTGTAAGCATGATTCAAGTGGTAGGATATCAGCTTTGAGCAGAAAAGTTAAGTGAAAGTATGAGGGCCTGAGTTCAAGGCCCAGTACTGACACAAAAGAGCATAAATAAATTTAAAAAAGTGTTGGGTAACGGGTGTGTTTTGCTACTTAATGGGAAAGAGATTCTCAAATTTTCTGAATAGGTAGGATTACAGGTGAGAGTCACTGGTGCTCAGCTTCAGTTGCCACTTTTGTTTTTTGGTCAGTCCTGGGGCTTGAATTCAATGGCCTGGGCACTGTCCCTGAGCTTCTTTTTGCTCAAGGCCAGCATTCTATTACTTGAGCCACAGTGACACTTCTAGCCTTTTCTGTTTATGTAGTACTTAGGAATGAAACCCAGGGCTTCATGCTTTCCGGGCAAGCACTCTACCACTAAGCCACATTCCCAGCCTGCAGTTGCTACATTTTTAGAAGTATTTCACACCAAGTGCTGGTGGCTTACTCTTGTAATCCTAGCTACTCAGGAGGCTGAGATCTGAGGATTGCAGTTGAAGCCAGCCCAGGCAGGAAAATCCATGAGACACTTAATCTGCAATTAACTGCCAGAAAACCAGAAGTGGCACTGTGGCTCAAGTGGTAAGAGTGCTAGCCTTGAACATGAAGAGGCTTGGGGACAGTGCCTAGGTCCTGAGTTTAAGCCCCATAACAGACCCCCTGCCAAAAAAACAAAAAAAAATGTTTTTAGCAGTATTACAACATAGTTGCTAAGTTGTATTTTAGTATTTCATGGTCGTGGTGTCTTTTTTAAATTTAAAAATCCCTCATTTTCTCCCCTATATGGGGGCTTGAACTCCAGGCTTCACACTGCAGTGAGCTGTTTCACTCATGGCTTGGTGCTCTACAACTTAAGCCACACATCTACATTGTATAAATTTCTTTCTTTTTTTTTTTTTTTTTGGGTCCGGTTGTGGGCTTGAACTCTGGGCCTGGGCACTGTCCCATAGCTCTTCAGCTCAAGGCTAGTACTCTACCACTTGAGCCACAGCACCACTTCCAGCTTTTTTCCTTTTTTGCTTATGTGGTGCTGGGGAATTGAACCCAGGGCCTCAGGCATGCAAGGCAAGCGCTCTACCACTGAGACACCTTCCCAGCCCTATATAAATTTCTTGGTTTAAACAATTTGTCTGAGTTCTTGTGCCTCATGCCTTCCATCCTAGCTAAAAGCCAGCCTGTGCAGACAAATCTGAGAGACTTTATCTCTTAATCACCAGCTAACTAGCACTCAGAGCTGCGGCTCAAGTGGTTGAGCAGCTAGCTGTCTTGAGCAAATAAGGAAGAACAGGAGATCCTGAGATCAAGTTATAGTACTGGCACAATAAAAAAATTTAAAAAGTTTTTTTTTTTTGGTCATGGGACTTGAAATCTGGGCCTGAGCGCTGTGCCTCAGCTCTTCAGCTCAAGGCGAGCGCTCTACCACTTGAGCTACAGCGCCACTTCTGGTTTTCTGGTGGTTTATTGAAGATAGGAGTCTCATTGTCTTTCCTGCCCCAGCTGGTTTTGAACCTCAATCCTCAGATCTCAGCCTCTTTTTGTTTTTTTTTTAATTGTGAAAATACTGTACAGAGGAGTTACAATTACATGGGCAAGATAATGAGTACATTTCTTATCAAGCATTGCAGCCTCCTCCTTTGTTTTCCCTTCTCATCCTCCCCCCAGATCTCAGGCTCTTGAGTAGCTACAATTACAGGTGTTAGCCACCAGCACTCGGCAAGAAAAAGTTTTTTGTGGTGCTAGAGATGGAATCCATTGTCTCACACACACTAGTTAAGCACTTTGGAATTAAACTATATTCCTAGATGATAATTCTTAATAGCCGAGCGCTGGTGGCTCACGCCTGTAATCCTAGCTACTCAGGAGGCTGAGATCTAAGGATCATGGTTCAAAGCCAGCCCAGGCAAGAAAGTCCGTGAGACTCATATCTGCAATAAACCACCAGAAAACTGGAAGTGGTGCTGTGGCTCAAGTGGTAAAGCGCTTGCCTTGAGCTGAAGAGCTGAGGGATAGCACCCAGGCCCAGAGTTCAAGCCCTGTGACCAACAACATCAAAAAAAGATAATTCTTTTTATTTTATTTTTTTATTGTGAAAATACTGTACAGAGGGGTTACAATTACATTGGGCAAGATAATGAGTACATTTCTTACCAAGCATTGTAGCCTCCTCCTTTGTTTCTCCTTCCCATCCCTTCCCATCCTTCCCCCACCCCCCCCACCAAGTCCAACTCCCCCCCACCAGAGTTGTAAAGTTCGTTTTTCCACATAACGACTTGTACATCTCATTGTTGCAATGGATCCACCCAAAAAAAGATAATTCTTAATATAAAACTGGACACCAGTGGGCTGATGCCTATAATCCTAGCTACTCAGGAGGCTAATACCTGAGGATCATGGTAAAAGCCAGCCTGGGCAGGAAAGTTTATGAGACTCATCTCCAAATAATCACCAGAATACCAAAGTGGTAGAGCACTAGCCTTGAGTTGAAGAGCTATGGGACAGTGCTTAGGTCCTGAGTTCAAGCCCCAAGACTGAAAAATAAATTAAAAAAATGAAAAATAAAATCTATCTGAAAAAAGAATATGTTGAAACAAATTAAACCTGGAACTAGTTGCAAAAATAAATATGTTAATAAAAATGTTAATTTGTATACATTTTTTAGCTTGAGTATAGTATGGTAGTTTCATCCTATGATAACTTGATATTAATCTTTTCTTCTCTTGTTTTCTACTATCAGGAGAAAGTTCAGCAATTTCTACAGAAGACCTAAAAGAATGTCTGAGAAAACAACTAGAATTCTGTTTCTCACGGTATAGAATTTTTTGAAAATTGCTATTTGTCTAGTTTTCAATTGGTTTTGCATGGATTATAGATGAAATTAAGTAGAATAGTGGTGATTATTTCCTTTTAATGGTGTATTTTAAAATCATTGTTTAGTACCAGCACAAAAAATAAAGACCTATTGACCATGAGAATTAAGACTAAGCTACACCTTTTTTAGTTGTGCAAAGATCATGTTTACCAAGGTTTGATTTTCAAGTTCTTTTTTTGGGGGGGGGGGTCCGATTGTGGGGACCTGGGCCTGGGCGCTGTCCTTCAGCTCTTCAGTTCAAGGCTAGCACTCTACCACTTGAGCCACAGTGCCACTTGTGGCTTTTTTTTTTTTTCCTGCTTATGTGGTGCTGAGGAATCGAACCCAGGGCCTCATACATGTGAGGCAAGCACTTTACCAATGAACTACCTTCCCAGCCTCCATTGAATCATTTTTGAACAACCAAGATATTCCATGGTTGGGCACTGGTGGCTCATGCCTGTAATTCTAGCTACTTAGGAGGCTGAGATCTGTGGTTTGCAGTTGAAGCCAGCCTGAGCAGAAAAGTCTGTGAGACTGTTTATCTCCAATTAACCACTGGGAAATTGGAGGCTCAAAGTGGTAGAGTACTAGCCTGGAACAAAGGAGCTCAGCACCTTGAGTTCCAGCCCATCAGCAACCAAAAAAATGTTCTGGAAGTGGTGGTGTGGCTCAAGTGGTATAGTGTTCACCTTGAACTTAAGAACTGAGGGACAGTGCTCAGGCCTAGATTCATGCCCCACAACGGAGCAGCAACAACAAAAAAGTTCTTACATGGAGCCCATATTCTGGCCAGAGCACCCAAATTGTAGACTTAACAAATAAGCAATATTTAATAGTAATTGGTATGGGGAGAAGGTAAATAGAACAGTAGAAGCAAAGGAAAGGAGAGTTCAAAGTACCTGTGTGGTTGCACGTTTAAATGGGGTAGTAGGTCAGGCCCTTTGAGAGAGATCTTTTTTTTTTTGTCGGTCATGGGGTTTGAACTCTGGGCCTGGGCGCTGTCCCTCAGCTCTTCAGCTCAAGGCGAGCGCTCTACCACTTGAGCTACAGTGCCACTTACGGTTTTCTAGTGGTTTATTGGAGATAGGAGTCTCACGGTCTTTTCTGCCCGGGCTGGCTTTGAACCGCGATTCTCAGATCTCAGCCTCCTGAGTAGCTAGGATTACAGGCGTGAGCCATCGGCGCCCGGCGAGAGAGATCTTTTAAACGAAGACTTGTACCTATTTTCAGCTAATTTGCTTCAAAGAATATTTGGTATGAATAAAAATGGTTAGAATTTGAGCTGGCATAGTGGTGAATGCTTGTAATCCCAAGACCAGGCAAGCAGAGATATGCATTCAAGACCAACCTAGGCTATGTGATGAGACCTTGTCTCAAAAATGGAGGAAGCGAAGGAAGGGATGATATAGTCCAAAAAGAAATGTACTCAGCTAGCTTTGAGCAAAATGCTCAGAGACAGTGCTCAGGCCCTGAGTTTAAGCCCCAGGTCTGGCAAAAAAAGAAAGAAAGAAATGTACTCATTACATGGCTTGTGAAATCGTAACCCCTCTGTACAACATCTTAGTTACAACAGTAAGATTATATTTCAATAAAATCAAGAATTTAGTTGGGCACTGGTTGTTCATGCCTATAATCCTAACTACTCAGGAGCCTGAGATGTTCCGAGCCAGCCCAGGGAGGAAAGTCTAGAGCTTGTATCTTCATTTACCTCTAAAACAAATGAACAAACACTGGAAGTAGAGCTGCAGCTCAAGCAGTAGAGGACCAGCCTTGAGTAAAATAGTTGAGTAACAATGCCCAGACTCTGAGTTTTAAGCCCCAAGACTGGTACAAAAAATAAAAATCAGGAATTTGACTTTGCTCTAGTTTGTTAAAAACATTTATATATAAGATACAAGTTTTTAAATATTTTGTCTTAATGTAACTTAGTTTTTTACCTTAATTTTAAATACATATTTTAAATATAGAAGTAAAGAAAGCATGCTCATGAAAAATAGAGATGTTTATGAATTTAAAAGTATTCATGAATTTAGCCGGGCGCTGGTGGCTCACGCCTGTAATCCTAGCTACTCAGGAGGCTGAAATCTGAGGATCGCGGTTCAAAGCCAGCCCGGGCAGGAGAGACTGTGAGACTCCTATCTCCAATAAACCACCAGAAAACCGGAAGTGACGCTGTAGCTCGAGTGGTAGAGCGCTCGCCTTGAGCTGAAGAGCTGAGGGACAGCGCCCAGGCCCAGAGTTCAAGTCCCACGACCGACAAAAAAAAAAGTATTCATGAATTTTAAAATGTTCACCAATAAGCTACTCTTCATATACCTACTCTTACATTGATGTTACAAGTGTTTACAAGCTAATATTATGCTATCATACATTGCTGTTCAGTATTAAGCTTCTTCCTATATCAATTGAGTGCCATAAAATTCTTTTTTTTTTTTTTTTTTTTTTTGGGTCCGGTCGTGGGGCCTGAACTCTGGGCCTGGGCGCTGTCCCTCAGCTCTTCAGCTCAAGGCTAGCACTCTACCACTTGAACCACAGCGCTACTTCCAGCTTTTTTATTTTTGCTAATGTGGTTCTGAGAAATTGAACCCAGGGCCTCATGCATGCAAGGCAGGCGCTCTACCACTGAGCCACCTTCCCAGCCCCACCATAAAATTCTTTGTCCAAGCTATTGGACCAAATACGTTTGGGAATTCAAAACTTTGTTTTATTTATTTATTTTTTGTCAGTCATGGGGCTTGAACTCTGGGCCTGGGCACTGTCCCCCAGCTCTTCAGCTCAAGGCGAGCACTCTATCATTTGAGCTACAGCACCACTTCGGTTTTCTAGTGGTTTATTGGAGATAGGAATCTCATGGTCTTTCCTGCCTGGCTGGCTTTGATCCGCAATCCTCAGATCTCAACCTCCCGAGTAGCTAGGATTACGGGCGTGAGCCACCAGTACCCTGCTGCTGGGAATTCAAAAGTTTGTAAAACGTATTTTATTTTTATTTTTTGTTGTTTGTAGGACTTCTGAGCTTTTTTGCTCAAGGTAGCGCTCTACCACTTTGAGCCATGGCACCCCTTCTGGTTTTCATTTGGTTAGTTGCAGATCAGAGTCTCATGGACTTTCCTGCCTGGGCTGGCTTTCAACCGTGATCCTCAGATCTCAGTCTCCTGAACTAGGATTGCAGACATGAGCCACTGGCACCAGACTAATGTGTTTTTTCTAAAAGCATGTTTTTGTTTCCCTAGACAGTGAAAATAATAAGGTGCATTTTAGTTGCCTTTTTAGAATTTGCTTGTTATATTACTTTCTGTTTCTTTATTTCAGAGAAAATTTGTCGAAGGATCTTTACTTGATATCTCAAATGGATAGTGATCAGTTCATCCCAATTTGGACAGTTGCCAACATGGAAGAAATAAAAAAGTTGACCACAGATCTTGATTTAATTCTTGAAGTGTTGAGATGTATGTAAATGAGAAGTTACCATATTATTTTGCTCTTTGATCATATAAGGAATTGTTTTAATTTGAATTTTTATTTTTTCCTTTTGTTCTAGTAATTATTTTAGTTAGCTGACTGGCACATGTACATATGGGTGTGTGCATGTGTATTCTGTATTCTGTACTTTGGTGGTTCTTGATTTTCATGTTTGCGTAGCAAGATAGTATAAGAAATTAAATCTTGCTTTCATAGCATATTAGAATACTATTAGAAAGAATGTCATCTTAACACCACTTAAAGATTAATCGATTTAAAACTTTTTTCTTTTTTTTTTTTTGGTGCTGGCACTGAGGCTTGAACTCAGGACCACAAACTCTCACTAGGCTTTTTTGCTTACAATTGATGTTATACCACTTGAGCCATACCTCTGCTTCTGACTTTTTGCTGCTTAATTGGAGATAAGAGTCTCACAGATTTGGCTACTCCAGGCTGTTCTTTGAATCTCCATCCATAGATTTCATACTCCTGAGTAGCTAGTAAGATAGTGTTTTCTTTCTTTCTTTTTTTTGGTTTTGGTTTGTCATGGGGCCTGAACTTGGCCTGGGTCTCTGTCCTTGAGCTTTTCAGCTCAAGGCTAGCGTTCTACCACTGGAGCCACAGTACCACTTCTGGCCTTTTTTGCTTATGTGGTACTGAAGAATGGAACCCAGGGCTTTGAACTTGCAAGGCAAGCACTCTACCACTGAGCCACCCTCCTAGCCCCTACATATTTTCTTTTATCTTTCATAACTTATTAGAAATGGGACCTATAATTTGACCTCACATTTGCTAAAAATTTTGCTTGTTTCCTTCTTTCCCCAGTTTCACTTACTTCCCTTCCTCTCTCTTCTCTTTCTATTAAGGTTTGAACCCAAGTGCTATGCTAATTGAGCTAAATAGCCGAGGTTGGCTTCATGCTCACAGTGTAGTTCAGGCTGACCTCTAACTTGTAATACTCTTGCTTAGTCTCTTGAGTGCTGGCTAAAAATTTGTTTCTTGATTGAAGCTCTAAGAGTTTTTAATGTTAGTGTCTTGTGTTAATATTTCTTGGTAGCCTCTTTTAAATGGGTTTTATTAAGTATTTGGTTAAATTAAAAGAGATCTTCACTTATTTGAAATATGTTCAAAATGTTTAAAAGTTAACTATGATAATAGACATTTGGGAGTAGAGGATTTCAATTTATAGTAGGCTACACCAGTTTATGGGATTCCTAATTGGTTTGTATTTAAATGGCCCAGTCTTATCTACATAGAAAGTTGGCAAAGAGACAAATAAATGGCCTTCTTTGTATAGGTTAAAACTTAGCAGTTATATTCGCACTTCACCCTTGTCTGCTTTTTTATTCTACTTACCTGTTCAAGGGAATATTCCGCACTTCACCCTTGTCTGCTTTTTTATTCTACTTACCTGTTCAAGGGAATATGACATATTAGCTGTCTGAAGGAGCTGGAAGTAAAAATGTGGCTGTATATTATTGACTATTTTCACTAAGTTAGCATCTAAAGATGGCTTTTGAGTTGTTGGTTTTTTGTTTGTTTTTTATTTTTTGTTTTTATTTTTAGTCAGTCGTGGGGCCTGAACTCTGGGCCTGGGCGCTGTCCTTCAGCTCTTCAGCTCAAGGCTAGCACTCTACCACTTGAGCCACAGTGCCACTTCTGGTTTTCTGGTGGTTTATTAGAGATAAGAGTCTCACGGACTTTTTCCTACCTGGGCTGGCTTTGAACCATGATCCTCAGATCTCAGCCTCCTGAGTAGCTAGGATTACAGGCATTGAGCCGGTGGCTTTTTTTTGGGGGGGGGGGGGAATCCGGTCGTGGGGCCTGAACTCTGGGCCTGGGCACTGTCCCTCAGCTCTTCAGCTCAAGGCGAGTGTTCTACCACTTGAGCCACAGCGCCACTTCCGGCTTTTTTCTTTTTGCTTATGTGGTGCTGAGGAATCGAACCCAGGGCACCCAGGGCCTCATGCATGCAAGGCAAGCGCTCTACCACTGAGCCACCTTCCCAGCTCTTGGTTGTGGATCTTGAATTCTGGACCCGAGTGCTGTCCCTGAGCAATTCAGCTCAAGCCTAGCACTTTACCGCTTGAGCCACCGAGCCACTTCTGGCTTTTGCTGTTTATGTGGTGCTCAGGTATTAAACCCAGGGCCTCATGCATTCAAGACAAGCACTCTACCACTGTGATACCTTCCCAGCACTGCCCAGCAGCTTTTGAGTCATGTAGTAGTATAATAGAGTGAATATACTGAGGTGAGGCGCTGTGTTTTAATAACAATAATTCTTTATGTTGACTTGATACTGTTCCTTGTCACTTATGAAAAATGACACTCCAACTTTTTAAAATTTCAGCTTCTCCTATGGTACAAGTTGATGAGAAGGGTGAGAAGGTGAGACCAAGTCATAAGCGTTGTATCGTAATTCTCAGAGAGATTCCTGAAACAACACCAGTAGAGGTAATCATTAATCACTGCTAGAGCTAAATGTTCTTTAACTGTTTAAATTGGAGGAGGTAGGCAAGCAAGTATACGTCAGTCATTGCTCTCCTGTCAATTACTGTCAACAGTGTAAATACTAATATGCTTTGTTAATTCTGAAGTAGAACAGTTTAAAGGAAGGAAAAGATAATTCTCTGTTCTCAGAAAGGAAGATTGCATGTTGCAGTTATATTGACTATGAATTTATTGGTTTGGCTGCATGATAGTTGAAATATAAATAGGTTATTTTGGGAACTTGAGGATTTATATAGAACAGTTAAGGACAAATATCTGAACAAAGGTTAAGAAGCATTATTAATTCCAAGGGTTAGCAGAATAGGAAGCGAAACTAAATAAAGCCTTCAAGCTGGTGTGGTGCAGGTTAATGAATAAAATAATACTGGAATGAAGCAACATAATCCAGAAATAGGTCCTTTTATGTAAGAATATGCTTAATAACATTCTTTTAAAAATTTATGTTCTGAAAAAAAAAAAAGAATAATCAAAGGGGCTGGGAAGGTGGCTCAGTGGTAGAGTGCTTGCCTTGCATGCTCAAGGCCCTGGGTTCGATTCCTCAGCACCACATAAGAAAAAAGCCGGAAGTGGCGCTGTGGCTCAAGTGGTAGAGCGCTAGCCTTGAGCTGAAGAGCTTAGGGACAGCGCCTAGGCCCAGAGTTCAGGCCCCACGACCGGACCCCCCAAAAAAAAAAAAAAAAATTTATGTTCTGCCAGGTATTGTTTGCTCTACGGTTACTTGAAGTGAAGTTTTATTTTTACAGTCAACCTTCTTCTTCTTCTTCTCTCTCTTTTTTTTTTTTTTTTGGTGGGTCGTGGGGCCTGAACTCTGGGCCTGGGCGCTGTCCCTCAGCTGTTTAGCTCAAGGTTAGCGCTCTACCACTTGACCCACAGTGCCACTTCCGTTTTTTCTGCTGATGTGTGCTGAGGAATCGAACCGAGGGCCTCATGCATGCAAGGCAAGCAATCTATACCACTGAACCACCTTCCCAGCCCCTCACTCAACCTTCTGAGTAGTATTACAGATGTGAGCCACTGATTGCCAGCTAGGATAAATTTTTGATTATTCTTTTGTTTTGCAAGTCTTGGGGCTTGAACTCAGGGCCTGGGTACTGTCCCTGAGCTACTTTTACTCAAGGCTAGCACTCAGCCAATTGAGCCACAGCACCACTTGCAGCTTCTTCTCCTTATGTGGTGCTGTGGAATAGAACCTAGGGCTTCATGCATGCAAGCATTCTACTAAGCTACATTCCCAGCCCAAATTTTGATTATTTCTTACTCTAGATGTCTCTGCTTGTGCATACAAAAGTTAATCTATATACAATTCTGTTCCTAGGGAGTGATAAAGGTAGAAAATTAATTCATTATATATTGCAGTGGAAGTAAAAGTATTTAGAGAGTATATTCATGGGTTTTTGAAAGATCAGTGGGTACCAGTGTAATTTCACAGGTATATATATTGGACTGCATGGGAATTTTCCTAAGTATAATGGTATTTTACCACATTTTTGCAGAAGTTTCAACTTAACTGTTTGTCTACATTATTTCAAACAATACTTGACTCAGCATTTTGTCACAACTTTAGACATTAAAATTTTTTTTTCCTAAGATTTTTTTTTTTTAACAGCAAATGGCACTGGGGTGGCCTTCGTTCTGCTTTATTGACCTCAGAGTACCCTTGGTACTTTTTTCCTAAGATTTGATAAACTGCACAGATTAGACTTATAACTGTTGGTATATTGATGTTCCAGTTAGCTTAGTAACAGTTCAGTTAAAAATGGATGCCTAATAATTTTTCAATATTTGATATTTTTTGATATTTGATAGTTTGGCTTAATTAGGTTGTTAAAATATTTTGGAATTTGGGGCTGGGAAGGTGGCCCAGTGGTAGAATGCTTGCCTTGCATGCATGAGGCCCTGGGTTCGATTCCTCAGCACCACATTAGCAGAAGAATGGAAGTGGTGCTATGGCTCAAGTGGTAGAGCACTATCTTGAGTTGAAAAGCTAAGAGATAGTGCCAGGCCCAGAATTCAGGCCCCATGACCCTCCCCCCCCCCCAAAAAAAAATGTATATTTTTTGGAATTTATGGTTATTAAATTTTGTCTGTACTCAAATAGGTAAACTAATGGGCTTAGGTGGTAAAAATCGTAGATAATAAAAACCTTGTTAAGAGGCTTGTTTTTAGGAGTAAATCATAGTGTTTGACCCTTGATGGTGTTTCATCCAATGTTGTATACTTCTGTAACTTTATGGATAATTCATGTTCACTTTTATTTTTTTTTGTTTTTTGGTCGGTTGTAGGGCTTGAATTCTTGACCTTGAGCTCCTCAGCTCAAGGCAAGCTCTCTACCACTTGAGCTACCATACTACTTTGTTTTTCTGGTGGTTAATTGGAGATAAGAGTCTCATGGACTTTCCTGCCTCGGCTGGCTTTGAACTGCAATCTTCAGATATCACCCTCTGGAGTAGCTAGGATTTAGGCATGAGTCTTAGATATTTTACTTTTATAAATTTCTTTCAGTCTATTATCTGTTTAAAAACTCTTGTTTTGTTGTAATTTTTTTCTGAATCTATATTTGTTGTTGGTGTTGTGTTTTGTTTTTTTTTTTTGGGTCTGGTCATGGGGCCTGAACTCTGGGCCTGAGCGCTGTCCCTCAGCTCTTCATCTCAAGGCTAGCATGCTACCACTTGAGCCATATTACCACTTCCGTTTTTTTTTTTTTTCTGCTTATGTGGTACTGAGGAATTGAACCCAGGGCCTCATGCATGCAAGGCAAGCGCTCTACCACTGAGCCACCTATATTTGTTTTTTGAGTTACATTAATTATAGAAAAAATTAAGGCCTACAAAATGTTAATAATGGGCATGATTAAAACATAATGGCAGCTGGGTGTAAGTGGCTCATGCTTATAATCCTAGCTACTCAGCAGGCCAAGATCTGAGTATCATGGTTTGAAGCCAGGCAGGACAGGAAATTCTGTGAGATTCTTATTTATATTGGTGTGTATGTGTGTGTGTGTTGGTTGTGGAACTTGAACTCTGGGCTTGGGTGCTATTCCTGCACTCTTCTGCTCAAGGCTAGAGAGCCACAGCGCCACTCCTCAGATAGCCTCCTGAGTAGCTAGGATTACAGGCGCGAGCCACCGGCACCTGGCCTTATTTATATTCTTACATATTGAGCTGAAGAGATCAGGAACAGCGCCAGGCCCAGAGTTCAACACCTCCCCCTCCTCTGCCACCAAACCAAAAAAAAAAGGCTGAAAAATTCTCTAGTACAAAAAAAGCAAAGGAAGTGAGGATGACTTAAATAGCCAGAGAATGTCCAATAAACTACCAAAAAGCCGAAAGAGGGCCTATGGATTGTATTAGCCTTGAGGGAAAAATAAAATTAGGGACCAGTGCCTAGGCTCGGAGTTCAAGCCCCAGGACCAACACACAATAAAATTATAATGATGATTGAAAGTACATGCAGATTTTTCACTAAGCTTTTGCTTCAGAATTGCTAAAGTGTTAATAAGTAAAAATGGGACCAAAAGAAATGAAGAGATGCTCAACCTTACTAGTTTCAAAAAGTTGATTGTTGATGGTTTTTAAGAGTTCATTATACTTTCTCTCTTTTAGGAAGTGAAATCATTGTTTAAAAGTGAAAACTGCCCCAAAGTGATAAGCTGTGAATTTGCACATAATAGCAACTGGTATGTCACGTTCCAGTCTGACACAGATGCACAACAGGTGAGAAGACTTTGCTTCTGATACAAGTCCTGCTAGTAAAAGAAATCATAGTATATTTTAACTAAGAAAATAGGGCCAGCACAGTGGCTCACAGCTGGCAGAGATCCAGAAAATCATGGTTCTAGATCAGTTTAAAAAAATAACGAAGTGCTGGGAAGGTGGCTCAGTGGTAGAGCACTTGCCTTGCATGCTTGAGGCCCTCGGTTCGATTCCTGAGCACCACATAAGCAGGAAAAAAAAAAAAGAAAAAAAAGCCAGAAGTGGCTCTGTGGCTCAAGTGGTAGAGTGCTAGCCTTGAGCTGAATTGCTGAGGGACAGCGCCCAGGCCCAGAGTTCAGGCCCCATGACTGGACCCCCCACAAAAAAAAGAAAAAGAAAAAAAGCAAGAATAGTTAGACATGGTGGGGCACACTTGTCCCCTATAATCCTAGCTATATGGAAAACATAAATAGAAGCATCACTGTCTGAGGCTGGTCCCAGGTAAAAATGTAATACCTTCTTTGAAAAATAATGCCTTTAAATGCTAGAGTCCAGTGACTGCTTAGCAACCATGAGACCCTGAGTTCAAACTCCAATGCCATTATTGAGATAAAAAGAATTGTCTGGTGCTGGTGACTCACACCTGTTTATCCTAGCTGCTCAGGAGGCTGAGATCTGGGAATCATGGTTTGAAGTCCATGAGACTTTGATCTCTAATTATCCATTATCCACCAGAAAACCAGAAGTGGACCTGTGGGGTCAACATGATAAAGTGCTAGCCTTGAACAAAAAAATTGCTGAGGGACAGTGCCCAGGCCTCAAGTTCAAGCTCCGTGTCCGACACTAAAAAATTTAAAACAATTAAAAGAATTATGAATTAGAATTATGAATGTTGATATGGCTCAGTGGAGGAATTTTAGCTTAGGACGTGTAAATCCTAGGTTTGAAAATCACCAGCCTTGTTTACAAAAAAAGGGAAAAGGAAAATGATTGAACAGAGCATGATGTCATATATCTGTAATACTAGTAGTCTGGATGCTGAGGCAGGAGGATTTTAAGTTTGAGGCTAGCCTATACTACATAGCAAGACCCTAAAATAAGCGGGGGAGGGAATGTGTAACTATTCTCATGTTCACAAAAATTAGTGAGCCTTTGCTTATTGTTTTGCTGTTAAATTTTTTTTGATAATCTTCATTAAGGTGTCAGTTTTGATTTAAGAGCAGTTTATTGCCTGTTAATAAAAGTAACACTTTTTATGGGTGAATATGTGGATTGGGAACTATGTACTCCATAAATAGTATTTCTCATACTTGGAAGGCCTGCAATAAAAAATACATTCTTGGATTTTTACTTAATGATTTTTTTTTTTTTTTTGGTCAGTCATGGGGCTTGAACTATAGGCCTGGGCACTGTCCCTGAGCTCTTCAGCTCAAGGAAAGCTCTACCACTGGAGCCACAGCTCCACTTCTGGTTTTCTGGTATTTAATTGGAGATAAAGAGTCTCACAGACTGACTTTGAAGCATGATCCTCAGATCTCCACCTCCTGAGTAGTTAGGATTAAAGGATTAAAAGTGTGAACCTTCAAAGCCCAGCTTAATGAATGATTTTTTGTGTCCGGGGCCCGAGCTCTGGGCCTGGGCGCTGTACCTCAGCTCTTCAGCTCAAGGCTTGAGCCACAGCGCCACTTTCAGCTTTTTGCTTTATGTGGTGCTGAGGAATCAAACCCAAATCCTCAGGCAGGCAAGGCTCTACCACTGAGCCACCTTCCCAGCACCCCAATGAATGATTTTTTAGAGTCTTTTTTATTTTGGTTGGTTGTGGGGCTTGACCACAAATGATTTTTAATAAATCTTTTTTCCGGTTGTCACTCTCCTGCATCTTTATTTGTTCATGTAATGACGACTTTTATACTCCTTTTTTTTTTTTTGGGTCCGGTCGTGGGGCCTGAACTCGGGGCCTGGGCACTGTCCCTCAGCTCTTCAGCTCAAGGCTAGCGCTCTACCACTTGAGCCACAGAGCTACTTCCGGCTTTTTTCCTTTTGCTTATGTGGTGCTGAGGAATCAAGCCTAGGGCCTCTGGCATGCAAGGCAAGAGCTCTACCACTGAGCCACCTTCCCAGCCCCTATACTCCTTTATTTTTATTTATTTATTTTTGCCAGTCCTGGGGCTTGAATTCAGGGCCTGGGGCTGTCCCCAAGCTGCTTTTTGCTCAAGGCTAGCATTCTACCACTTTAGCCATTGCACCACTTCTGGTTTATATTGTTTGTGGTACTAAGGAATCAAACCCAATTCGTGCATGCTAAGCAAGCACTCTACCACTGAACCACATTCCTAGCCCTTAATGAATGATTTTTAAGACAGTCTTGTTAGGTAGTCCATACTAGTCTTGACCTTCGTCTTTCTACGTCAGCCTCTGTAGTGCTGGGCTTACAGCTATTATATTTTATTCTTAATTATTATTACTTCTTACATAAAGATAAAAGAAACAGTATGCCTTTGAAACAAATATATATGATATCTTTGTAAAATAAATCATTTTATTTTTTTAATTCTTCATCTTAGGTTATTTGATTGAATCATTTTAAATTGATACATAGTGGTGTAGCTGTATTTGAATATTGCATGTGGACTATACTTAAATTTTTATTTTTCATTTCCTATTAGCTTTAGGATTGTTACTTCAACTTTAAAAGTTATTACAAACCTGCTTTATTCAGTAAAAATGTATTTAATGTTGAATGCTAATAACAATTATTTTCTGATTGGTTAACAGGCTTTTAAATATTTAAGAGAAGAAGTTAAAACATTTCAGGGCAAGCCAGTCATGGTAAGAAACATTTGTAAATGCAGTAGAGGATCATGGGAAACAAATAAAATGGACAGATAAAGACAATTTTGGCTTGTATGTTACTTCAGCAATTTAGTTAATAGGGCATCAAGATACTCTGTACAGTCGTTTTTGTTCTTTTAAACAGAATTGCATCATGTTTTTGTTTGGTGCCCATTCAAAACCTTTAAGTCCCAATCTCAAAACACATAATAGTAATAATTTTTAGTAATAGATAAAATACATTTTCAGTACTTTCAACCCATTTTACTATACCTCATTGCTACTTTGACATCCAACCATTTGGGAACCTAGGAATTGTCATTGAGGTAATTGATGACACTTCCTCACTATCTTACATGTTTAATCTGTTCTCAGGTCCCATAAAAATCTGTCTTCAAACTTCTTTCCATCATTATTGCCATTGATTAGACTTGAACTGTTGGAATGGCCTCATAACTGCTGTGCCTTCAGCTTTCCTATTCTCCACATTGCCACTAGAGCTGCCATTCTAAAAATTTTCTAAACCTACACCATTTTGATATGGTCCTCATGCTCCATGTGATACTTTTATTCTCATCATTTCTTGTAAGTGTAATACATTATTTTTACTAAACTCCTCTCTTGTTTTCTTACTATGAACTAATTTCTGTTTTTAGCCCTTAACATATATTAACTTACTTTATTCTTTAAAATTTTAATGAGATTAGATACTCTTCTCCATATTACTAGTAAAGAAAACAAGAATAAATTACCCAGTTTCACTTGACTAGCAAGTGAAAGAACCAAGATAAGAGTAGCTTGGTACTTATTAAGAAGTATATAAGCTGGGCTAGCTAGCCACTCAGGAGGCTGAGATCTGAGGGTGGTGGTTCAAAGCCAGCCCAGTGAAGAAACTCTTATATACAGTTAACTACAAAAAAGTCAAGAAGTGGAGCTGTGACTCAAATGGTAGCTTGCTACCCTTGAACATAAAAGCTCAAGGACAGCACCCAGGCTCTGACTGAGTTCAAGCCCCAGGATTGGCACTAAAAAAAAGAAGCTATGTATCAAACACTGTTCTAAGAACTTGACATAGTTAAATCTCATTATTGCTGTGCAGTGGTGTATTACTACTAGTTTATGTATTACACAACTAGTCTTATAATGTATTCTGTCTTTTAATGCCACTGTTTCTTCTTCGAAGTGCTCAGGATATTCTTCAGCATCTTCTAAGAGATTTGACTATTCATATTTATATTTAGATATTTGGCACGGTTCTTTTATCTGGTATATTTTGTACAATGCAGTACACAAAAATACAAGTATAAAAAGTTGCCGCATCTCTTTGAGATCCACTTTAGGCTCTTTATTACTTTTTTGCCACTCTACTTTCCTGAACTAATACTGCTACTCTAATCACCATAGTTTTATAATATCCTTTTTTCCATAAGCAGTATTAAAAAAAAACTTTTATTTTTCTGAATTGCCTTAACTATTCTTAGGCTACTACTTTTCTTTGTGGATTTCAGAATGTTTACCAATAAAGAACCAAAAAAAAAACCATATTGGAATTATGAGTTTATACTTTAAAAAATTGGTAGATTGCATTTAATGGAATTGCATTCATTTATTGTTAAATTGAGGACAGTTTGAAGTTTTACGTTACAATTATTTTAAGTGATATGTTAGTACTAATTCTGGTCTATTGTGGCTCCTTAATGATTTTGAGGGGGGGGGGGGGGCGGGGGTCAGTCATGGGGTATGAACTCAGGGCCTGGGTACTGTCCCTGAGCTCTTTTTGTTCAAGGCTAGAGCTCTAACACGTTGAGCCACAGACCCACCTCTGGTTTTTTTGGTTGTTAGTTGGAGATGTCTCTCACAGACTTTCTTACCTGGTATACTTTGAACCATGATCCTCAAATCTCAGCCTTTTTAGTAGCTAGGATTACAGGAGTGAGCCACCTGTACACAGTTCTAAGTGAAATTTATATTGGGGTTTTACTTACTTAGGGGGTGCTTTTGGGTTTTTTTGTTTTGAAAAAAAGCAGCAACCTTCCTGAAGTCCTTTAGTGGGTCTTTTGGGTTATCAACCAAAGATATTTTCTCTAAAAATAGTTACTGTTTTAATTCTTATACCTTGGGCATTGTCCCTGAGCTTCTTTTGCCTTAGGGCTAGCACTCTATTACTTTAGCTATAGCGCCACTTCTGGCCTTTTCTGTTTGTGTGGTACTGAGCAATTGAACCCAGGGCTTCATGCATGATAGGCAAGCAGTCTACCATGAAGCCACATTCCTAGCCCCTCTTCCATCTTTTTTTGGGGGGGGAGGGTCTGGTGTTGGTCATAGGGCTTGAACCCTGGGCCTGGGCGCTGTCCCTCAGCTCTTCAGTCAAGGCTAGCACTCTACCACTTGAGCCACAGTGCTCCTTCCTGTTCTCTGTGTTTATTGGAGATGAGTATTTCATGACTTTTCTGCCCTGGCTGGCTTTGAACTCTGATTCTCAGGTCTCAGCCTCCTGAGTAATTAGGATTACAGCATGAGCCACTGGTACCCAGGTCTTAAATCTTTCTTTTATTCTCTTTTTCTTCTTACTTTTGTTTTTGTTGTTGCCAGTGCTGTTGTTGCCAGTTTGAGCTGAAACCTTACTCAGTTTGCTTACTTAGGTGCCATTTTACCATTTGAACCTTGCTTCCAGTCCCTGTTTTACTGTTTTGACTTGTGGGTTTATTTTATTTTATTTTTGGTCGTGGGTCTTGAACTCTGGGCCTGGGTGCTGTCCCTGAGCTTTTCAGCTTAAGATGAGCACTCTACCATTTGAGCCACAGCTCCACTTCTGGTTTTCTGGTGGTTCATTGGAGATAAGAGTCTCACAGCCTTTCCTGCCTAGGCTGGCTTTGAACTATGATCCTCAAAACACAGCCTCCGGAGTAGTTAGGATTACAGGCTTGAGCCTGCAGTGCCCAGCAACTTTTGTATTTTTATCTTGTTTATTCTGACCTTTCCCAAGCACATGCTTTTTTGTTAAGGTTATCAGTTTTTTTGTCCTTTCTTCTAGGTATTGTTAACAGAAACAATATAGTCAAATAAAAAGATGAAAATGTAAATTAGCATATTTTTAAAAACAAATTTACATTTTGTCTTAATGTTACAATGTGTTCCTTTTTTTTTCTAGGCAAGGATAAAAGCCATCAACACGTTTTTTGCTAAAAATGGTTACAGGCTAATGGATTCAAGTATGTATAGTCAGCCCATCCAGACTCAAGCCCAGTTTCCCTCACCAGTGTTTATGCAACCTGTATATAGTCCCCACCAACAGTACTCCATCTATAGTCTTGTGCCTCAGTCTTGGTCTCCAAGTCCTGCACCTTACTTTGAAACACCACTGGTAAGTGAGATCCTTATTGAATGGTGAAATAAATTTTCATCAGGTTAAATTTGAAGAAATCATCTAGAGTAGTAGTTCATTTGTTTAGTGTTGATACAGGTTTTTTCCTGGCTTTTAAATTGTGATATGGGTTGATATGGATATCTAATTGCAGTTTCATTCTTTCTTTTTTTGTGCATGAGTATGTTCATATACATGCTGATAACAGGACTTGGACTCCAGGCCTTGAGCTCTTATTGTGGCTGGTACTCTACCACTTAAGCCACACCTCCATTTCTGGCTTTGTCTTAGTTAATTGGAGATGAGAGTCACAATTTTGACTACCTAGGCTGGCTGCAGGTCTCAGCCTCCTGAATAGCTTTGATTGTAGTTGTAAGCCACTGACACCTGGCTTTGCCCTTTTATTCTTTAAACTGTGAGTGAATTGAAAGAAGAAACTAAGTTCTGTATAAGTTTAACTTTTTTTGTCAGTCATTGGGCGTGAACTCTGGGCCTTGGCACTGCCCCTGAGCTCTTCAGCTCAAGGCAAGTGCTCTACCACTTGAGCCACAGCACCACTTCCGGTTTTCTGGTGGTTAATTGGAGATGAGTCTTATGCACTTTCATGCCTGGGCTGGGTTTGAACCGTGATTCTCAGATCTCAGCTTCCTGAGTAGCTAGGATTATAGGCATGCACCACTGTCACCCAACTGAGTTTAAATATTTTTATTGTTATGAAGTTTTCCCAAAAAGGAATGTTCCTTATTAAGTATTGAATTAGTGATACATTATTTATAAATTCAAGGGTATATGACATGAACATTGCAAAAGATTAAATTCTTTTGTACAGTGAAAGAAGTTGATGTTTATGATTTATCTGACGCTATATATGTATACACACATGCATGCACACTTTTTTTTTTTTTTTGCCAGTCCTGGGGCTTGAACTCAGGGCCCAGGCACTGTATCTGAGCTTCTTTTGCTCAAGGCTAGCACTGTACCACTTGAGCCACAGTGCCACTTCCAGCTTTGTCTATGTATGTGATACTGAGGAATCAAACCCTGGGCTTCATGCGTCCTAGGCAAGCACTCTACCACTAATGCACATCCCAGTCCTTTAGTCTATATTTTTTTACTTCAAGGTGTTTTTTTTTTTTTTGTCAGTCATGGGGCCTGAACTCTAGACCTGGGCGCTGTCCCTCAGCTCTTCAGCTCAAGGCTAGCACTCTACCACTTGAGTCACAGTGCCATTTCTGGCTTTTTCTGGTTATATGGTGCTGAGGAATCGAACCCAGGGCCTCATGCGCAAAGGCAAGCACTCAACCTCTGAGCCACCTTCCCAGCCCTACTTCAAGGTTTTTTTTGTTGTTGTTGTTCTTAGTTTTGTCGTTTATGTAGGCTTGTACTCATGGCCTGGGTGCTGTCTCTGTTTTGCTCAAGGCAGCACTGTACCTCTTTGAGCCATAACACCCACTTCTGGGTTTTTGAGTGATTAATTGAATATGAGTTTCCTGGGGACTTTCCTGCCCTACCAGGCTTCGAACTAATGATCCTCATGATCTTAAGATCTCAACCTCCTAAGTAGTTAGGATTACTGGTATGAGCTACTGGCATCCAGCTTAAAAAGTTATTTTTATTAGTGTATATTAACTGTACAGAATGAGAGGGGTTTTTTTTGTTTGTTTCGTTGGTTTTTTTTTCGTGGTCCTGGAGCTTGCTCGTCCTCTTGTCCCGAGCACTGTCCCTGAGCTCCTTTTGCTGATTGCTAGTGCTCTACTATTTGAACCACAACTCCACTTTTGTTTTTTTTCTGTGACTAGTTGGAGATAAGAGTCTCATAGATTCAAAAGCCAGCCTGGATTGGTTCCATGATTCTCAGATCTCAGCCTTCTGAGTAGCTAGGATTACAATCAGCCACTAGTACCAGCCAAAATGAATGGTTTTATCGTTGTTTCCATACATGTATATGCACTTTGGTCATTTTCAGATCCTCTCTTACTTCCTCCCCATTTTTTCTTTACCATTAATATTGTTTAAACATTAAAATTGTATTCTAGGCTCCCTTTCCCAATGGCAGTTTTGTGAACGGCTTTAATTCACCAGGATCATATAAAACAAGTGCTGCTGCTATGAATATGGGTCGACCATTCCAAAAAAATCGGTAAGAAATCATAGCTGAAATTATTTTAAACACTTTCTAATAGTTCTTGAGGAATTACTGTATTAATAGCAGTGGTTATTGGGAGACTCAGTAAAAAGGCCTTTGTTTATTTTTACAGGAAGTGTGTTAATTCAGTTTAGTATTCATAAAGCTACTTTAACTTATGAGTTGATAATGTTTGTGAAAGGACTAGGGGGCTCCCATTTTTATTTAATAAAAATGAGAATAAAGAAAAGATCTGGGCACTGGTGGCTCACATATATAATCCTATCTTCTGTGGAGGTTGAGATATTAAGATTAAGGTTTGAAGCCAGCCATAGGCTGGAAAATCTGTGAGATTTTTATCTTCAATTAACCAACTCCCCCCACCTCACTCTTTCCAAAAAAAAAAAAAAAAAAAGCCTTGAAGTATAGCTGTGGCTCAAGTGGTAGAGCACTAGCCTTGAGCACAAAAAGCTTAGAGACAATATGTTATGTAAGCTCTCCATTCAAGCCCTCGGACTGGCACCAAAAATAAAGACAATACTAGCCGGGCGCCAGTGGCTCATGCTTGTAATCCTAGCTACTCAGGAGGCTGAGATCTGAGGATTTCCGTTCAAAGCCAGCCAGGGCAGGAAAGTCCGTGAAACTCTTTATCTCCAATAAACCACTGGAAAACCGGAAGTGGCTCTGTGGCTCAAGCGGTAGAGCGCTTGCCTTGAGCTGAAGAGCTGAGGGAAAGCGCTCAAGCCCAGAGTTCAAGACCCACGACCCACCAAAAAAAAAAAAAGATACTGTAGCAATCTCACATGATAACTAATATCTAAATGCCACTTAGTATATTGAATGAGAAGTCATTTGGGATATCTTTGAGGTTTGAAATGTTAAGTAATTTTAGTAAACAGTGTGCGAATTGTATTAGTGTAAGATATGTATTATGTATATTTTGTTAATTAAGAAATAGAAATGTGGAAGTTTAAATATTCTAAGAGCATGTAGCTTGTGACTGGCTTTGATTTAAACCCATGCAGTTTGATTGACTCCAAAAGTTTGCACTTAAAAGTATAATGTTCATAATAAATTATTAGGGGGTTGAATATATGCCTCAGTGGTAGCTTTGTATGTGCAAAGGCCCTGGGTTTGATCTCTAGCACTGCCAAGGGGAACAAGTAAACTATTAGGAATCCTAGTAACTATTTTCTATCATACAGAGATCTATAAGCCTTTTACATACTATTTTCTATAAAAGTACCAGCTGATAATCTCAGAGTAAGTGTAACCAAAGACTGGTGGCTCACATCTGTAATCCTAGCTACTCAGGAGGCTGTGATCTAAGGATCATGGTTCAAAGCCAGTCTGGGCAGGAAAGTCTGAGAGTCTTATCTATAATTGGTAAAGTACTCACCTTGAGGCAGTGCCTAGGCCAGAGTACTCCCAAAAATAATAATAATAATTTAAAAAAAGGAATAGTCAGGAGCCAATGGCTCACACTTGTAACCCTAGCTACTCCGGAGGCTGAGGCTAGTGGTTCAAAGCCAGCCTGGGCAGGAAACTCCGTGAGATTCTTATCTCCAATAAGCCACTAGAAAACGGGAAGTGGCACTGTGGCTCAAGTGGTAGAGTGCTCGCCTTGAGCTGAAGAGCATAGGAACAGCGCCCAAGCCCAGAGTTCAAGCCCCACAACCGACCAAAAAAAAAAGGGAAATGCCTGATGGCTTAGAACTACTCAGTAGTTTTCACATTGATTATTTATTGTTTGCCCCTTTTGGGAGCCTCTTAATTTTGAAATTCGGGTTTTTTTGCCCGAATGATTTCTTTTTGTGACTTTCAGTCTTTTGCCACTTCTAATTTTCTTCTTGACCCTTTGGTAAAGAGATCCCATGGAGTATATTTTTAAAAGATGAATTCTTGGAACTTAGTCCTTTTTGTGAGGCTTTTCAAAACATGCTTTATTGAAGAAAGGAGCCTCACAGTATAAATAAAAAATATTCTTCTCGAGGCATTCACTTATGTGCTACCTTTTAGTTGTCAGGATTTGGAGTCCTTCTTTGACTGATGAATAACCCATTCATCAAATGCTTTAACCCAAAGCATTTGAAAGTTTTTTTTTTTAAGTACTGGAAGAGTTCTACATAAATCAAATGATAACTCTGAAGATCTACTGCTTTTCAGAGTGTGGCAGCCTATGTTTGTATCCTGGCTACTTGGGTGGGTGAGATGGGGAATATCACATTTTAAGGGTAATTCTGGCACAAAAAAAAGTTAGCAAGAGCTCAGCTCAACTAATAAGGCAGGCATAGTGGACTCAGCTACATTAAAGCCATGTGTTGGAACATCTGTCTAAGGCCATCTCCTATTGAAAACAAGTGAGACCCTGCCTGAAAAATAACTAACACGAAAGAGCTAGGAGTGAGGGTCAAGTGGTAGATCTCCTGCCTATCAAGTATGAGGTCCTGAGTTCAAACTTTCCCAAAAGACCTGAGGCAGAGGGATCATTCAACCTCAGGAGTTGGAAACTAGCCTGGGAAAAAATAGAGAGATTTTTGTCACCAAAAATAAAAAGGTAATAATGATGATGGTCTGATGCAGGATGCCTTATAAACACAAAATGATTTGTGCCTTACATGACTTGATAATGTAACTGCAATTAACTCCAAGACTCATTATTACAGGGACATGAATATAATAGATACACTGTCCCCTAACTGCAACCCTGTTGTTTAGAAAAGATTAATTTCAATGAGTTTATATATCTATAAAGACAATAATGTTTGAATCTGGAAATACCTTTATTAGTGTATAGTTTTAACTCATTTACAGACAAAAGAAAGTGAAGGGTGAATAGCTGAGTGCCATGGCTCACACCTGTGAACCCAGCTACTTGGAGGCAGAGATAGGAGGATCAAGGTTGGGAACCAGTCCAGGAAAAAAGTTAAGTGCACCCCTATCTCAAAAACAAGCTATATATAGTGATTTGCTTCTGTAATCCTACCTGTTTGGGAGCTGAGTAGGAAAGCCACAATCCACAATCCAAGTTCTGCCTAGACAAAGGTGGAAACTCTATTTAGAAACCCTAAAAGTACAAGGGACTGAGACATGGCTTAAGTGTTAGTACTGATCTAACAAGTTCAAAGATCTGAGTTTAGTCCTCTGAACAGCTGGGGGGGGGGGGGGGGATAAAGAAAAATGAAGCTAAGTATAGTAAAAATCCTGTCAGGATTAAGATTAGAACAACTACTCCAATAAGCTGGGAAGGGTTTTACTTAAAAATAATTTTATTAGAGCTAATCACAGTTGATAAACTACTCATGATAAGATTACTTACAATGAAAAACAATATTTATTTAAAAATACTTAATCTTCTGGGTGCCAGTAATCCTAGTTACTAAGGAAGTTGGGATCTGAGGATTGTAGTTCAAAGCTAGCCCAGTCAGGAGGAAAGTTCTTGAAACTCCAATTAGCTAGCAAAAAATTGGAAATAGAGGTATGGCTCGTGTTAAAATGCCAATCTTGAACTTAAAAGCTAGGCTAGAACATGAGGTCCTAAGTTTAACCCCCAGTACCAGTATAAAGGAAAAAAAGCACAAAGAGAAAAACAAAATTTGATCTTTCACATGTGTGTGACTGATATGTTATTAATTAATTACAAAAATAATACATTAATACTTTCTTGTATTTATAGCTTTTAACCAAAACCACAACATGGTTTTCTCCTTACTTCTAAGAGTTGTCAGCTAACAGGCCTTTATTCTGTAAAGTTAACCAGCAAAGAAAAAAAATTGAAAGTCTGTTTATATTAGAGAATCTGTTCATATTAACTAGATGGCCTAGTGATGATCACTAGTTCTACTCAGAATAGGATTAACTTTCAAAAGCCCCAGCATTTTTCTTCTCTTCTTACATAATTTTTCTTTCACTTCTGCCTTTATTTTTGTTTCCTTCCTTTGCTTTATAATTTCTGTCTTTATTCTTTTTTCTGTTGCCTGGATTGAGATTGTAAATCCCTCTCTGTGAAGGGTAAGATTATGAGATCTGAGGGCTGTTGAAACCTTCTAAATAGATATGTAAATAGCATATTTACCTTCTGAGGCCGTTTTCAGGTATAATAAATAGCAAATGTTTAAACTGTGAGGTTATACCGATATTTTCTTTACTGTTAAATCTATTTGGAGGCCAGTTTGGCAACACATACCTGTCTAACCCCAGCTATTCAGGAGATAGAGTCAGGAAGATAGAGTATTTGGCACCAGTAAAGGTGTAACTCTGTCTCAAAAACAAATAGTTTGGATATTGCTCAAGTGGCACAAAGCCTTGGTTTCAATTCCTAGATCTATACCCCTCCAACAACAACAATAAAAATTAGAAGCCAATTTTTAGCCTGAAGGTTTTTCTATCTAGAGTCATCCTTTCATGTATGTGATCTTATATTTCTTTTAGTGTGAAGCCTCATTTTAGATCATCCAGTGGTTCAGAACACTCAGCAGAGGGCTCTGTGTCTTTGGGGGATGGACCATTGAACAGATCTAGTTCAAGAAACTTTCTACCTGAACGACATAACCCTACAGTCACAGGGAATCAAGAACAAACTTACTTTCCAAAGGAGACTCCCATTTTACAGATGGAACAGAATGGGGACTATGGTAGGGGCAGGTAAGGAAATAGGGGTATAAGAAAACTCTTTATTCATCTTAAATATTTAAATATAGCTGGGGGCTAGTGGCTCAACCTATAATCCTAGCTACACAAGAGGCTGAGGATCACAGTTCAAAGCCAGCCTGGGCAGGAAAGTTCAGGAGACTCTTATCTTCAATTATCCACCAGAAACCAGAAGTGGTGCTGTGGCTCAAGTGGTGGAGTGCTTGCCTTGAGCTGAAGAGCTGAGGGACAGCACGCAGGCCCAGAGTTGAAGCTCCATGACCACCTTCTCCTTCCCCCATTTTTTTTTAATATAGTCACTTTAAATACTTGAATATTTTTCTAATGATTTTTGTTCTTGATAATTTAATAATTATTGTTTGGTTATCCTAAATATATTGTCCACATAATGTGGGATTACAAGGTTTGGGTTGTTTCGTTTTTGGTTTGGAGCAGGTTTGGCAGTGCTGAGCATTGAACCCAGGGTCTCAGGTATATGTTAAGCAAGTGCTCTTTCATTGGCCATAGCCCCAAACCTAGAAGTTTTTGTTTTGTTTTTATAATTACTAAGAAATATAGAGTACCCATAGGGAATATAATTCTGAATCAGAAGTTTATATCATGAAATTTATTTTACCGAGGAAAGAACTGCTTAGAAAAATTATGTACCCAATTGTCTGTCAGTTTTAATTTCTTTCAGTTTACTAAAAATAGGAGTGGGATTATATCTAATTCTCATTTTCTTCTAGTGTAAAGGGCATACTAGTAATAAAACAGGGCCAGCAAGAATGAAAAATAGCTATAGATACAACAAATCTTCATCTTTGGTAGAATGTGTATATTTTAATTATGAACTGTTCCACCCCCTCTTTTATTGTTAAAGGAGAACACTCTTCAGAGGTCGTAGAAGACGGGAAGACGACAGGATTCCTGTAAGTATTAACCTCTTTCTTTTTTTTTTTTAGATACAGATCTGTGTGTGTTTTTTTTTTTTTTTGAGCCCGGTCGTGGGGCCTGAACTCTGGGCCAGGGCGCTGATCTTCAGCTCAAGGCTAGCGCTCTACCGCTTGAGCCACAGCGCCACTTTCAGCTTTTTTCTTTTTTGCTTATGTGGTGTTGAGGAATGGAACCCAGGGCCTCATGCATGCAAGGCAAGCGCTCTACCACTGAGCCACCTTCCCAGCCCCTATATAGTTTATTTCAACCAGTGTTAACCCCTCTTTCGGTCTACTTTATCCTCCCCCTTAAGGTTTTTTTTGTTGTTGTAGTTTTAGCACTTTAACTCAGTACCTGACACTTTCATTGTTGGCTAGCATTCTATTAACTGAGTCTGGGCCAGGACACTGTCCCTCAGCTCTTCAGCTTAAGGCTAGCGCTCTATCACTTGAGCCATAATACCACTTCCAGCCTTTTCTGCTTATGTGGTGCTGAGGAATTGAACCCAGGTTTTCATGCATGCAAGGCAAACACTTTGCTACTGAGCCACCTTTCTAGCCCTTCTGCTTCCTCTTTAAAACAGTTTACACTGGTTTCAATGTGAGGTGTTTTGTCTGCGTGTGCGCGTACGTGTGCACGCTGTGCTTGAACATAGGGCCTAGGCACTGTCCCTGAGCTTTTATGATTCAGGCCACAGTTCCACATTCAGCTTTTTGGTGGTGAATTGGAGATAAGAGTCTCATGACCTTTCCTACTTGGCTGGCTTGGAACCTTGATCCACAAATTTCTGCCTCCTGAGTAGTGAGGATTTAGCTGTGAGCCACTGGTACTTGACTCGTTCTATTTTTGTACTTACATATAAAGTATTCTAACCATACTCACCCTCATTCAGTATTTTTAATCTTAAATTATATCCTTTAGTTTGTTTCCCTCCCTCCCTCTCTCCCTCCCTCCCTCCCTCCCTCCCTCCCTTCCTCATTTTTTCCTTCCTTTCACCAGTTCTAAGGCTTAAACTCAGGGCCAGGGCTCTTTCTCTGAACATTTTTGTTCAAGGCTAACTAGCTAGCGCCCTATCACTTGGTCCATAGCTCCATTTCTGGATTTTGGGTGACTAATTGGAGATAAGGGTGTTACAGACTTTCCTGCCCTGGCTGGCTTGCAATCTCCATTCTTAATCTCAAGCCTCCTGGTAGCTAGGATTACAGGTGCCTAACCAGATAACATTTTTTTCTGTTGTGACTAATGAGGCCTTGACTTATTACTTGTCTTTCCTTCCTGTTTATTTTATTGATTATAATCAGGATAACTAAATAGAGTCTGAGCTAGGTTCCTATTTTTTTTCTTTTTTGTCAAGCATGGGACTTGAACTCAGGGCCTGGGTGCTCTCCCCGAGTCTTTTTTGCTCAAGGCTAGCACTTACTACTTGAACTACAGTGTCATGTTACCTTGTTTGTTAGTTAGTTGGAGATAAGTTTCATGGACTTTCCTGCCCGGGCTGGCTTTGAACAATGATCCTCAGATGTCAGCTTCCTGTGAAGCTAGGTTTGTAGGTGTGAGCCATCTACACCCTGCTTTTTAGCAGTGACTTTTTGAGGTATGCCATTACAGTACTGCACATGAATCCTCAAGTCGTTCTGAATAAATGGAGGGGCAAACCTAGATTTAGAATCTGGTTATTATGTTATTATAGCACCATACTAAACCAACTGAGCTAACTAGCCACTTGTTATTATGTTGAAAATCTTACGATTTACAGTTAAAAGGAGACAAGCATGCTCTCCCCCCACCCCTTTATTATTTTTTTAAATATTGGAGCTTGAACTCTGTCTGGGCCTGGGCATTGTCTCTGAGCTTCTTTTGCTCAAGGCTAACACTCTACCACCTGAGCCACAGCTCCACTTCTGGCTTTTTGGTAGTTTATTGGAGATAAAAGTTAATGAGTTTTCCTGTTTGGGCTGGATTTGAACCACAATCCTCAGATCTCTGCTTCTGAGTAGCTAAGATTACAGACATGAGCCAATGGCATGCTTTCCAGAATGAAGGGAAAGTATAAGAGCCTTTGTGCAGAAACTATATTTTATCTAGAAAGAATATGGAGAATTTGTAAGCTTATAGCAACTAAAGTGATAAGTTTAGATTAGTACAGGGTACCATCTGAAGAGGAAATAAGTCGAATAGATCTCCCTTTTTTTTTTTTTTGTCGGTCGTGGGGCTTGAACTCTGGGCCTGGGCGCTGTCCCTCAGCTCTTCAGCTCAAGGCGAGCGCTCTACCACTTGAGCTACAGCGCCACTTCCGGTTTTCTGGTGGTTTATTGGAGATAGGAGTCTCACGGTCTCTCCTGCCTGGGCTGGCTTTGAACCGCGATCCTCAGATCTCAGCCTCCTGAGTAGCTAGGATTACAGGCGTGAGCCACCAGCGCCCGGCTCCCTTTTTTTTTTTTAAGACAAGAGCAGAGATTTACTTTATTTAATTTTCATTATTAAACTAATAATGAATTTAAACATTCTGAAGGGAGAGCAGGGAAGATGGCTCAGTGGTAGAGTGCTTGCCTTCATGCATGAGGCCCTGGGTTCGATTCCTCAGCACCACATACATACATACATACATACATACATACATACATACAACCGTAGATAGAAAAAAAAACAAGAGGAAGCGGACTAAATATAACTTAACATAAGTAGAACTGGAATAGAACTAATGAGAGATAAACTCAAATGAGAGTCTAGGAAACAAGTTATACTTTAGTTATACTTTATACTTTAAATAAATATTGTTTGGTTGGTTTTTTTTTTTTTTTTCCAGCTTCTGTGTGGAGAGAATCGAGTAGGCATATGACCTGTTTAATCATTTGTGGAATTTGTTTGTTTATTTTAAGAGACCTCATCCTTCAGCTGAAACAAAAGCTTCAACACCAAAGTTTGACTTACTAGCTTCAAATTTTCCTCCATTGCCTGGAAGTTCATCAAGAATGCCTGGTGAACTTGTTTTGGAGAATAGAATGTCTGATGTTGTTAAAGGTGTCTACAAAGAAAAGGTAAACATGAAGCATCAGTATGATTCTCATTTTGTGGAAGCATTCTCAGGCATTGATTTCAAGGTTGTTGTTTAAAATTTCACTTGCAAGTTGTATGTATTTCTTTTTTGTTTTTTGTTTGTTTGTTTTTGTCTGTCATGGGGCCTGAAATCTGGGCCTGGGCTCTGGCTCTCATCTCTTCAGCTCAAGGCTAGCTAGCGTTCTACCACTTGAGCCACAGCGCCACTTGTGGCTTTTTTTTGCTTACATGTTGCTGAATAATCGAACCCAGGGCCTCATGCATGCAAGGCAAGTACTATACCACTGAGCCACCTTCCAAGCCCAATTATATGTATTTCTATTATAGTTTTCACTTGTGAAGTTTTCAGCATTAATTTTTTTTTTTTTTTTTGGGCCCGGTCGTGGGGCCTGAACTCTGGGCCTGGGCGCTGTCCCTCAGCTCTTTAGCTCAAGGCTAGTGCTCTACCATTTGAGCCACAGCGCCACTTCCGGCTTTCTTCTTTTTGCTTATGTGGTGCTGAGGAATCGAACCCAGGGCCTCAGGCATGCAAGGCAAGCGCTCTACCACTGAGCCACCTTCCCAGCCCCTAGTTTTCAGCATTACTAAGAGTGTTTTTTTAAATTCCAGTGAAGCTGCATAAGGCCACAAAATGTGTGCCCTTATGTTAAATGTTTTTTCTCATGTTAAATTCAACACAAGATTTAGTGGTAATAACTATTTTGTTATAGTAGTAAGTACATTCACATTGTTGTACAGCTAGTCTAGAACTCATCTTCAAAACTAAAACTTTTTATTTATTTATTTTTATGTTTTTGTCGGTCATGGGGCTTAAACTCTGGGCCCAGGTACTGTTGTCCCTAAGCTCTTTAGCTCCAGGGAGTCGCTCTACCACTTGAACTACAGCACCGCAACTTTTTATCTATTAAACACCATCTTCTATTTCCCCCTGAGCCCCAGGTAACTACCTTCTACTTTGTTTTTATAAATTGACTCTTGCAGGCACAAAAATAACTAGAATCAGGGGCTAGGAAGGTGGCTCAGTGGTAGAGCGCTTGCCTTGCATGCCTGAGGCCCTGGGTTCAATTCCTCAGCACCACATAAGCAAAAAGAAAAAAGCCGGAAGTGGCGCTGTAGCTCAAGTGGTAGAGCGCTAGCCTTGAGCTGAAGAGCTAAGGGACAGCGCCCAGGCCCAGAGTTCAGGCCCCACGACCAGACCCTCTCCCCCCCAAAAAAACAACAACAAACAAACAAAGAACTAGAATCATAAAAGTATTTGTCTTTCCATGACCTGGCTTATTTTCATAGTAGGATGCCATCAGGATTTTAATTCACTTTATTTTTTATTTATTTATTTTTGCCAGTTGTGGGGACTGAAATCTGGGCCTGGGTGCTGTCCCTCAGCTCTTCAGCTCAAGGCTAGTGCCCTACCACTTGAGCCACAGCACCACATCTGGCTTTTTTTTTTCTGCTTATGTGGTGCTGAGAAATCGAACCCAGGACCTCATGTATGCAAGGCAAGCACTCTACCACTGAGCCAACTTCCCAGTCCTTAATTCACTTTAAAGGTTTATCAGTACTCATTTTTTAAACTTATTGACTAGTAATAACTTTTTGACAGAGAGGATATACCAGCTTTTGCTTATTCATGTATCATTTGTCATTTGGTGGACATTACCTTTGTTTTCACTTTGTGTAATATAAATTATGGTACTGTGATAATTTGTGTGGTAGTGCTCTCTTCTGCAGCACATATACTAAAATTGGAATGGTGTAGAGAAAATTAGCATTAACATTTGTGTGATAAATTCCCTACAGCCTTTTTTTTTTTTTAAACCCCCCTCCCCCCCCCCCCCCCCCCCAAAAAAAAAGTCTTGCTATGTAGCACAGGCTGGCCTCAAACTCATGATCCTTCTAGTCATGACCACTATACAGATAAACTCTTAATTGTTGTTTTTATTTGGACATATCTTTTTAATTAATTTATTATGGGATAGCTCTGTTTACCTTTTAAGTAACTGCCAGGTTATCTTCTAATGCACTGCCAGTGTATCGTGTTCTGGTATCTCTGTATCATAACCAACACTTGTTAATATCTGTTGTGGTTTTTTGTTTTATTTTGTTTGTTTGTTTTGTTTTGTTCAGTTGTAGGGCTTGAACTCTGGGTCTGGGTGCTGTCCCTCAGCTCTTCAGCTCAAGGCTAGTGCTCTACCACTTGAGTCACAAGGCCACTTCTGGTTCTCTGGTAGTTAATGGGAGATGAGAGTCTCGGACTTTCCTGCCTGGTCTGGCTTTGTACCTCGATCCTCAGATTTCAGCCTCCTGAGTAGCTAGGATTACAAGAGTGAGCCACTGGCACCTGGCTTGGTTTGGTTTTTGAGATAAGAATTTCAGGCTGCCAAGGTGGCTTCAAACTCATATCCCAAGTGATGAGAATATAGGCATGCACCATCACACCCAGCTAATGTCTGTCTTTTTTGTTATTATAGGCATCATGGGGATATAAAATAGATGGCTTCTCACTGCTGACTAAATCATACTGGACATCTTTTCCTGTGCTTTTTGGTCATTTATCTTTTCAGGAAAAATGTCTAAATGTAATTTTAAAATACCTTTTTTCTTTTAAGGACAATGAAGACTTGAGAGTTGGTTGCCCAGTACCTGCAGAAGATGAACAGACAGACTGCACTTCAACCCAGCAACTCAGTATAAGTAACAGTCCTCCATGTACAACTGAACTTCCTGTGTTAAGGTACATATTTCAGAAAAGATCTTAAATATTAAAGTATTTTTTCTTAACCGAAACTTGGGTAGTGTACAGTTGTAATCACATGATGCAGAATACTGAGTCAAGCAGATGGAGAGTTTTGAGGCCAGCTTGGGTTACTATTGCAAAACCTTCTTTTAAAAAGAGTTATTGAGCCGGGCACCAGTGGCTTATGCCTGTAATCCTAGCTACTCAGGAGGCTGAGATCTAAGGATCGAGGCTCAAAGCCAGCCCAGGCAGGAAAGTCTGTGAGACTCTTATCTCCAATAAACCACTCAGAAAACCAGAAGTAACCCTGTGGCTCAAATGTTAGAGCACTAGCCTTGAGCTGTAGAGTTCAGGGATAGCACCAGACCCAGAATTCAAGCCCCATGTCCTACCAAAAAAATTTTTTTTCTTCTCATTAGCAGCTGAACCATTTTTGTGTACTATTCTTAACGTCTAGCTCCTCTTTTCCTTAGCACAACTAAGCAAGAGAAGGATCTGATAGAAGATTCCACTGTTCAGAAAGATGTTCTCAATCAGGTGACTGTACCAGTTTCTTCCCCAAGTACTGCAAAACCATCAAGGGCAAACACTGCTTCACCTTGCAATAGTAGCACAAATGTACCCGTAGCTGTGGCCCTACAGGTAACTTGAAGAATTCAATTTATGCAATACAATACAATCGATAATGTAAAACTTATTTATTCAAATGATACCTTGTTATAGCAGAGTATTCCAAGTGAGAGCTTCCTGAATCAGAAAGAAGCTAAAGGAGTTAAAGTGGGGCTGGGAAGGTGGCTTAGTGGTAGAGTGCTTGCCTAGCATGCATGAAGCCCTGTTCAATTCTTCATAACTATATAAACAGAAAAAGTCAGAAGTGGCTCTGTAGCTCAAGCGGTAGAATGCTACCCTTGAGCAAAAGAAGCTCAGGGACAGTGCCCAGGTCCGGAGTTCAAGCCCCAGGATTGGCAAAAAATAAAAGAAAAAAAAGACTTAAGGTCATTAAGAAATGGGAAGTTGTAGTCCTGTTAAAGAGTTGAAGAAGTTGTTATTCACTTTTCTTTTTTTGTTTTGTTTTTTGTTTTTTTTGGGTCCGGTTGTGGGGCCTTAACTCTGGGCATGGGTACTGTCCCTCAGCTTTTCAGCTCAAGGCTACCGTAACTCTACCACTTGAGCCACAGCGCCACTTCTGGCTTTTTTCTTTTTGCTTATGTGTGCTGGGGAATCAAACCCAAGGCCTCATGCATGCAAGGCAAGCGCTCTACCACTGAGCCACCTTCCCAGCCCCTCACTTTGCTTTTTTTTTTTTTGGTTGCCTTTTTTCCCCTTCTGATCATATTACAGTTAAAGGAAATTATGGTAAATTTACCATTTGGGAGCTAGCATTAAAAAAACACTTAACCCTCTTAAAACCCTCTTACTACCCTCTTAATTTTTTCATTGCTGATCCTGGGGTTTTAATCTGGGGTTTCCTGTCCTGAGCTTTTGTCCTCTACCACTTGAGCCATACCTCCACTTATAGCTTTTTTTGGTACCTAATTGGATGTAAGTCTCTTTCATTTCCTGGACAATTGGAACTATTCAGAAGATAGTTGCCTATGCTGTGTCTTTAAGATTTTTTCCTGTGTCCTCTTAGTTTCAAAATTTCAGGCCTTACATTAAGATCTTAGTACATGTTGAATTTTTGTGCAGAGGATCTAGTTGCAGTCTTCTAAAGTGGATATTCAGTTTTTTCAAAAACATGTCTTATTTTTTAATATATGTTTGTATTTTAATAATAGCAGAGTTTGTAAAGTACTTTCCTTCTCCTAGAAGGTAACTTTTTGCTTTTCTTGTGGTTAAACTGACTCTGTTTTATACTTAAAGAATATAAACTAAAAATTTCTTTCTTATCCCTTTAAAGGAACCCAGAAAGTTAAGTTATGCTGAAGTGTGCCAAAAGCCACCTAAAGAGCCATCTCCAGTTCTTGTACAGCCACTACGGGAACTTCGCTCTAATGTAGTGTCTCCCACCAAAAATGAAGAGAATGGAGCCCCTGAGAAGTTGGTTGAGAAACCACATGAGAAATCAGAAGCAAGGGCTAGTAAAGATTATCCTGGCTTCCGAGGCAATACCATTTCCAGGGGAGCAGCTGGAAAAATCAGGGAACAGAGACGCCAGTTTAGCCATAGGGCTATACCTCAGGGAGTGACTCGACGTAATGGCAAAGAGCAATATGTGCCACCCAGATCACCAAAGTAAAACAAGCAAACAAACAAACACAAAAAAGCAACTATTCAGAAACTTTCTCTCTTCCCATTAAACTTGAGCCGTGGCTATATTGAACTGTTTGGAGGAGAGGAGGTAGCCAGGAAGGAAACTGAAAGTATGTCCTTAAATCATTATGGATTTTGGAATTGTGAGTAGTAGGATCCCAAAATTCATCTCTAAAGTGATTTTAAAATGCTGGAGGATTCCAATCAATATAAATATATATATATAAATACATATATATATATATATATATACTCATAGATAAAATATAATTTTCTATTTTTGTTTTGATTTTAATTTGCAGAGGTTGTTCTGCCTAGAATCAATTTTGAGGGTTCGGATTTAGCTTGGGGGAAACAAAAACATCCTTCAGTATAGGAGATGAGGGAGTGAGAGAAAATATTTTTTGAAGAAGCATTTCTGTAAAAATTAGAAATTACTTTTTTAAATCTATTTCAAGTTTGGCTTGGAGAATGCCATCTCTGAGTATATGGCCTTGTGTTGTAAAGCAGATCAGTGGCTGGGGTGACTGTTGTGGGTATGAGTGTATACTAGAGTGATTTAAGCCAAATCTGTTGTCATGTTAGTAAATGATTTGAAACTGAATGTAATACTTGAGTAGATTTTTTTTTCTAGTTTGAAATTTAGTTTTTGAATTTACTAATACTACATTCAAAAAGCTGTTAAGCTGTGATTGTACTTGGAGATGTGACTACCAATCAGTTTGATACTCAAGAAAAGAATGGGGGTTATTTTAAAAAATTGATGGATTTCAGAGGCTTAAATTGCCTTGTGGGTTTCCCCCCCCTTAAAATGGGAAACAAAAGGTTTTGTTTCTTAATTTGTTACTCTTTATTCTTTGAGACTGCCTACCCCAAAGGCAATATAAGCATTCACCTACTGAATTGTATGTTTCTAGCTTTGACCAATTTAGTTGAACTTATAAGTGTTCTAAATTTCAGAATTGAGCATTGAAGTGTTTTACTCTTCTGTAGACTATTAGGTTCCAAGATGGTAGGGGCAGACTGACCTGCCAGTAATTTATTTTTGTTAGTGTTAAAGATGAAACAATGTAATTGATTTTTAAAATAAGTAGTATAGAAGAGGAAAAAAAATTTAAAAGATTAACTTGGGAGGAGTTTTTTTTTTTTTTTTTTTTTGTGTTTACAATGTATTTATCACCTTCCTTCCCTCTCTTCAAAAAAAAAAAAACAAAACACACAGGAAGTCAAGAGACTTTTGAGATAAGGTGAGAAAGATGGTTGAAGAAAAATTAATGCATAATTCCTCGGTGAATAAAGTTGTAGCTGCCATATACTAAATAGGAAAGTTTATATGCTGGCATTTAGAAAAAGGCTAAAATATTAAAAACCATGTTGCATTAATCTATTTTAAGACATACCATGTTCAGAGTTCTATGTAGGTGGGGTTTTATTTTTTTGTTCTGTGGATAGTTTATAATAGTACAAACTGTCCGTTATGTTAGTGAGTTACATATGTACAAATTGCAACTGTAAATTGTGAACACTGGAAAGCACCATTGTGACATAGAGTAAACATCTTAGTAATATATTAAAATGAATGTAAATGGAGGTTAAAATTACATTACTGTGAAACTCATCTTCTAAGTTAAGTTTTTGAGATTTATATTAGTAAGTACCCATTAAGAGCTTTGAAAACACTGCACATATCTGTACAAGCCAGAATTGTTATGATTTCTTTGTAACTTATTCAGCTTAGCAATTGCTTTTCATTTGGTGAGTTGATAACATGGTATAATCACTCAGTTTGAAGCTATTCATTTCTACACACTTCTTAACAGTTATCTACTAGATTAAACAAACAACTACTTATACTAAAAGTTTAGAGAACTTTTAAAACAAATAATAATCATTGGTTACATCTGATAAAAAGTGCTCATTCTGGTTTACTTAGATAACATTGCGGTTGGTAGAAATGATTAACAGTGTTAACACCCTATGAATGCTTTGGATTTCAGAGAATAAACATTTTGTAAAAATCACTTGGTAAGGATTTATAAAGTTAATTATTGCACTTAAAATGGAGGTCACCCTTCTGAAAGATGTAGTATTGAATTACTTTTATGCTTGTTTGGATTTTTTATAGTCCACCAATTTCTAAAAATTTACAGGTTAGCTTTTTGTTTGTTTGTTTTTAAATAGTGCCGGAGATTGAATCCAGGGCCTTCCACATGGCTATGCAAATACTCTACCACTGATCTGTACCCCCAATCCCTAAATGTTAATTGATACACAGAGTTTTTGAGGAAAGAAAATGTAATTCTTGCTTTTTCTCCAAAATGTCATTGACTGTAGAAATTTAAAGATATGATTTTTTTTTCCATAAAACTAATTTGCCTCTTCAAAATTAAATAGTTCCCGTTTGAAGGGATGTAAAGGGAGGAATAGTGTGTGTGTGTGTGTGTGTGTGTGTGTGTGTGTGTATATATATGTAATATATATATTCACAGTATGTATTTAGCATTTATTTTATTGCAGCAGATTTAAGGTTTGTATCTAAGTGATGCCTGTGAGTTGTATGAAACTTGGCTTATCCCAGCACTACTCTGATGTGGGTGGGTGTTCATTGTAGTTCAGCTATTTATTGGTTCTTTAGAAGGAGGAATTTAAATATCAAAGTTGTCAGTCTCACAGCTTAACATTTATTTGGCCTATTGGAGGCCAAAATATCTAAATGTGTGATATCTAAATGTGTGCTACAGTTTTCTGTCATAGTTCTGTGTGAAAGAGAGTACTAAGTCATACAAGTTCATAACCTTGCACTTCATAGCAAAGGTACTTAGAGACATTACAAAACCTGTCTCCATTTTCTGTCTTGGGAAATAAGGTTTTCATATTGTCTAAGGTCTGTCTGTAACCTAGGAAATCTCCATCTTGCCAGATACAGACATTGGTATTTAAAGCAATCCATGTAAATTTCCTTTTTCAACTGGATTTTGGAAGATAAGACCTTTCAAGGCTAAGAGTTTGTTATCTTACATGCTCAATTTGCAAGTAATCAAATGGCATGCATTATTTCTAATTTAATTTTGGCTCCTAAAGTTAAGGTAGCTTGAATATTGTTTCACATTCCTTTATCTCTTTAAATAACCTGCTTTACTTTGTAAAAGGCTTAATAATGGGATGTTAGCATCTTCAGTGTAAGGGAGAATAATAACCCTGAAACAAAATATTCAACACTTTCTCTAGTTTTATTAGTTATGGCCTTAAAAAATTAAGTCTCTTGACCTAAATGTCCACTGGTTTTACTTTGACACAGTTAAACAACACTGGGGTTAAATTGCTCTGGTATTTGTTGGCAATATATATTAACCAGATTTTAAAAGTACCAATTTTGGTTTTTTTTTATGCAAAAGGTAAAACTCAAAAAGGGCAGTGTAAATCCTTTTGAGGAGTTTTTATAAATTCTTAAATATAATATATGATGGATTTTTTTCTAATTTTTTTATATTTCCTTACAGTTTGGTGGCCACTAACTTAACTTTAGGCTTTTTTGGCATATGCCGATATGGATAGTCTGAGCTTTGAGGAAGACTCTTGGATATGTCAGTTTTCATTAGGTGAATTGAGGACATTTTAAGAAGTTGAATTTGTTTTCAGGTTGACAATAAATTCTCTTTTAAAATTTATCTGATTATTATATAACTTAATGTTTATTTTTGAAAGCTAAGAACTTTTTATTAATCTCTAAGTAGACAATTCAAAAAATTGCAACTCAGATGTCTACAAGCTTTATTAAATGGTTTTATTTTCAGTTTTACAGTAAAGAACACTGATTAGTGTATACAAAGAAATGCCCACATCAATGTTCCTTTTGTTTTGTTTTGTTTTTAAATCCTGGTTCAGGTGTCCCTGAGTGACATATCTCAAGTGTTGGGGAGTGGGGTGTCAGAACTAGTTATCTGGCTTTCTATTTTGTCCATTGCTTAGGTTTGTCCTGTTGTCAAAACTGTCCCTCCCAAAAAATGTTGTGGCACATGCTCATGCATAAAATGTTAAAATGAGTACATCCTTATATTTGTATTTGTTTTCAACATTGCCAAGGTGCTATGGGAAATTAAAATAACAAAATTAGAAAAAATAAAATTATTAAAAAGCAAAACTGTTTTCCTTTTCTCTAGGTGTTATATGTCTCATGTCTTATCAGTAATTTTTTTCTCGTAGAGGGTTGGTCATGGTACTTGAACTCTGGGCCTGGGCACTGTCCCTGAGCTGAAGAGCTCAGGGTGAGCACTCTACCACTTGAGCCACAGCGCTACTTCTGATTTTGTGGTGGTTAATTGGAGATAAGAGTCTCATGGACTTTCCTGACCAGGCTGGCTTTGAATCTTGATCCTCATATCTCTACCTCCTGAGTAGCTAGGGTTACAGGTGTGAGCCACCAGCTGAAAATGCATTTTTTAATGGTAGAAATAAAAATTTAAAAAAATAGAGCCTAATATAAATTACATTGTCTAATTGTCACAAATGTGTACTTCACTAAATTATGATATTTAAAATTTTTTGTTAAGATTTACAAAGAGGTTAACATAAATCAGGTAAAATGTGGTGTATTTATAAATATATAGTATATAAATTTAATGTGAGCATTCAGTTTGATAATTTAGATCATTAAGTATTGTCCTGTTAAACCTTAATCAAAAGGCTACTGTTTTTGAGCAGAATATTTCTCTTAATTACAGCTTTACAGGGGTTAAATGTTAACAAAGCCAATGAAGCAAGTGGATAATGGTCTAAACCAAATTGGTAATCTCACCTGTAGTCTTTTGAGTTGTACGGAAAATGAATGGATTTGTCAAGTTTTATCACAGAAACCCTATGTTTAACTACATTTCCTGTTAGAAAATATGAAGCTAACTCCAAGTTTTATTAGTTTAAACTACATACCTGGAAGTTTGAACTACTAGAGAATTGTGAGTTGTTAAACTATCAAGAGTGTCTTAGTTCTGAGAAACTGGGATGTCCCCACTTTCTATACTATTCTCCAGTACCTCTCACCATTTCTTCTGATCTTGTAGAAATGGAAGTTTCAGTTTTTCAATAGCTGTTCAATATATGGGGAGTTCTTTTCATAATGTGTGTGCATGTCCCCATGGGTTGGTGTGCCTGCTCAGGCATGCTGGATGTTTAGTATTTGCTTTTTTTATGCCAATACTGAGGCTTGAATTCAGGGACTCCTGTTCTCAATGCTTTTCTTCTCAAGCAGGGGTCCCTACCACTTGAGCCACACCTCCACTAGTTTTTGGCTAGTTAATTGTAGATAAGAGTCACTTTTCTTTCCAGGCTGACTTCAAACTATACTCCTCGGCTCTCAGCCTCCTGAGTAGCTACCATTACAGGCATGAGCCACTGGTACCTGGCCAGAAATAACTTTTAAAAATAATAAATGTTTCAGCCAGGTACTGGTGGCTCACACCTGTTATCCTAGCTATTCAGGAGGTTGCTATCTGAGAATAGCAGTTCAAAGCCAGCAGGGCAGAAAAGGCTCTGTGAGACTTTTTTTTTGTCAGTCGTGGGGTTTGAACTCTTGGCCCGGGTGCTCTCCTTCTCAGCTCTTCAGCTCAAGGCTAGAGCTCTACCAATTGAGCCACAGCACCACTCCCTGCTTTTTCTGCTTATGTGTTGCTGAGGAATTGAACCCAGGGCCTCAGGTATACAAGGCAAGCACTCCGCCACTGAGCGAGCGACCTTCCCAGCCCCTAGTTTGGGGTTTG